TAGACAGTGGTTTTTGATGGTGCTTTATTGCCAAAAGTCGAATTAAGTTCATCATTGCACTGTTGTTCCAAGTTGTAAAAAATAATCACAATGTTCACGACTTAATTATATTTTTTGGCCGAGATGAGTTTAGCAAATAGCGCATGTACTTCATTCGAAAGGGTCTGAGTAAATATACGGACAAAAATTCGAACCTTACGATAGCGACGTCGGTTATCAGTTGGCAGCACCAGGTTCGTTCTTTCCCGAAATATAAAAGGCAACTCGTATAACATTAACGAGATTCTCAAATAGAGAGTTCTAACTGTCGGTGTTAATTGGTATAATTACATTTTACATCGAAATGTTAAAATATATATTGAATAGTCACAAAATGCTCGAAAATTATGTTTGTATCATCCTTCTTAAAATTTCTTGACATTAATACTTGCAACTGTATTTGTTGTAATATACATGCTTTTATTATTTTACATATTATCTTTAGCGTGTTATTTACTAAATTAAAAAAGTATATGTAATTGTTAATACATATTTATTTGCAGACTTAGACCCGGTACTTTGAGTCTAGGTTAAAGGTTGATTACAGGCGATTAGACTGTACAGGGTGATTCGCTATATTTTGACACCCCCATTAACTCCTTTGTTTTTAGAGTTATAAAAAAATGTGAAATACAAAAGTTGTATTTTTATGAAGTGTCCAAAAATGATAGTAGAAAAACAAATGAAGTCCAAACAAAATGGTAGCGGACATTAACATTGTTAATTTTAAATGGAACACCCTGTATATTTTTACATATTCGGATAGAACGTTCCCTGTCGAACATACAGTTTGTTGGGCCATCTCTAACAATAAGCGAGATACTATTAAAAAACGAAAAAGTTTTTTTTATTAAGAAAATATATAATATATAATCTTGTAGTTAACAGTAGTTAGACCTCTTTTTAAATTGTACCACGTGATTGATCAACTGTTTAGTCGATTGGTCCGATTTTGAATTACGACTTTGGTGGTCGGGTCAGACCGTGCAGCGCCTAAACAACTATTAAAAACGTTCAATTCATCTTAATATTTGTGAACTGAAATCATGTTTATGTAGCGTCTCCTCTCACCGTACACAGTACCGAATCTCGTAATCAAAATTTTATTAACCGCTATGCCTAGGCAATCGCGCCATTATGTTTCTTAAAAAACCGCACCACGTACATTCACCGTCCAAAATAAATTCGTTGCCTTATTACCTGCAATCTTACTTAGATCCCCCGACCATCTATCACCGGAGCCGTTTAAACATTCACTTTATTACCATTGCCGGCGAATAATTTCTTCTAATTTATTATACCCGACTGAATCGTATTTAATGACTTAAAACGCCGGCAATTATTGCCTCTCCCCGCGGACATAACTCAAGTACTAACAGTGCAAAAGGAATAAGCATGGGACGGGATGCGGTAAATTAAGAAATGTTTTATGCCTTGAAGTTTATTTAACCGTACAAGCATAGGGTCGTTCTCCTTTCCTCTTCATATTTTCTTTTTAAAAGATTTGCTTAAAATACTTAGCAGGAATTTTTTAAAAAATAGGTAATACTTTTCGAATTACCGCGATGAATTTTATTTTTAGCGTCTGCAAAACCAAATACATAACACATTGAAAGGTACGGAAGGAATTTTTCGTACTGAATCCTGAAATTGCTTCATAACCTCAGGATATTGAGATATTCAATCAAAAGTACAAATAAAACCATTTCGACATGTTTTTGATATTGTCGCACCTCCAGATATTTTTTTTTACTCAATACTGTATTAAATTAACTTAAAGTACTTTTCTTCTTTAATTTCTAGTTTGAATTGTTTAGATACGACCGTTTTTCTCCAAGATATCACCAATTAAAGTTTTGTCGATTTCAGTATCTAATTACCTTCAGTTTATTGATCAAGGTGCTTGATTAAAGTGAGTCTTTTCGGTTCACATCATTCGGGATGCTTGATTAACGTGAGTCTTCTCGGTTCACATGATTCGGGATGCTTGATTAACGTGAGTCTTCTCGGTTCACATCAATCGGGATGATTGATTAACGTGAGTCTTCTTGGTTCACATAATTCGGGATGCTTGATTAAGGTGAGTCTTCTCGGTTCACATGATTCGGAATGCTTGATTAACGTGAGTCTTCTTGTTTCTTATAGCTCGGTATGCTCGATTAACGTGAGTCAGCTCGCTTCTCATGATTCAAGTGTTTGATTGACGTTTAGTTAGGATTTTCAAGCTTAGAATAAATGCATTAGTTAAAACATATTGCATTTATTTTGACTGTCAATTGAATGTAATTTCTAATTGGTGATATCTTGGAGAAAAAAAGGTCGTATCGAAACAAACCAAAACGGAAATTAAAGGAAAAGAGAAGTACCTACTTTAAGTTAATGTATGCAATATTGAGTAGAAAAGATATCTGTGGGTCTACTGCGATGTTTCATCTTGACCTTGTTCTTGATCTTGATCTTGATTTTGATCTTATTCTTACTCTTGTTCTTGTACTTGTTTATCTCCTTGTTCTGGTTTTTATTATAGTTCCTATTTTTGTTCTTGTCAAAAACATTACAAAATGGCTCTTTGGTGATGGAGCATCTTTGCGGCCAGTTCCGATTTAAAGATGAAAAATTAGGTCAGAAAACACTATGATCCAAAGAAGCTTGTTGTGTTGTGTTTTGCAGTCGAACAATTTCCGCTTACTATCTGTCAACAAATGGCGATATTTACTTTTGTTTTTCGATTATATCCAATATATTGAGTTACGAATTATTATTATTGGCAACTGTTGGCACTGCCACCTTAGCAACATAACGAAACTCAACAGTATATAATGAAAAGTCACCATATCTGTTACTAGAACGAATTTGTTTATTTTACTGTAATAACCATTCGCGAAAGTGTACTATTTTAGAATTTTTTAGGAGATAGAAATGTTAGGGTTTGAAAAAAAATACTACTCACAAAACAACTCAACTTGCTGTGCAATAATATCTGGTACTAGTAGTTCAATCTTCTTCGACTTGCAGCATTCTAAGTGACCTATATTTTCATAATTTTCTTGAAGATGTCTTGTTTCCGAAGCCCTTTGAACAACATAAATAAACCTACAAGGTACAGGATGTTGCTTGACATACAATCGTGATGCTATGGCAGCATTTTGGTGTTACCCAATACTAATATCTATTTTTGTGGAAATGTAACCATCTCCTAAATTGTTTGTTGGCTTCCAACTATTAATATGAGATTCGAATACATATTATATGATTTTTTCACAGGGGTATATTGGAATAATTTTAAATGGCTTTTTCGTTATTTTTGCGGTTTTGTAAAATGTTAAGTTCTACATTGGATTAAAGGGAAAACTTCATGCTGTACAAAGTTTTATATAGATTTCTCTTATGCGTCTTTCCTCTGACTATAATCCTAAACCAAACAATTAAAAACTTCTGTTTTCATACTACAGTAATTTTTTTTATTTCAATTGAGGACGAAGAATGTACTTTTTCTTCAAACGTTCAATATCCGTCATCGACCAATATTACAGGTACCTACATCCCGTATAACTGCCAAGGACATAAACTATCAACAACTATCATCTTTCTAGAAAATCACCTAGATAAAAAATAAATTTAATTAGTGGTACATTATCATACTCTTGATTTATTTTAATTTCGTTGTCATTGCCTCGTTTCTATATGGACTAGGCTAAACAAACCCACTGGTAAATATTTGTCTAGGCAATCAACACAAGTCTTGCTTTTGTGTAGAAACTATTATTATCGTAGGCTCACTAATATTTAATTTATTTAGTAATCACGAAAAATGGTTTACAATTAAAATAAACGTTTCCCTGTTTGTTTTGAGAATAAACAGAATTTAATCGTTTTTATGCTGTGGCGTTTTAAAAAACAAGTACTTTGTTTAAAATTAAATCTCTTCTCTTGAATCGAGGACAATCTGTTTTTAGGATTGTCGAACTTAACTATGTGGTCCGAAATGTTTTATAGACAACAATTAAATACTGACAACCGTCCTGACGGAATCTGTTTTTTGTTTTACTGAAGTTGGGAATGATTTCAACGGAAACATCGTGTTAAACAAAACAGTAAAAAATGCCTTGTCGTGACTCAAAGGAAGTCATTAAATATCACAAATAAGTGATACTTTACATTAGAAGCTTCAAAGTAGATCAAAATAATCATTAATACCCAGATCCTTATTGTGTGGTTAATGAAGCTTTATTAATTAACGCTTAATATAAAAAAAAGAAACTGTTATTTTGTATTTGTATGACTAACAATCGAACTGGGAACATAAACTGTACCATTTACATCATTTAACCTTGTTTGCATGTACTAAATTTACATATAGTTTAAATTAGGACTTTTATTAGACTTCGATGTCAAATATCACCTCACATTTTTTTTATTTTTTGTATGAACCTAGTTGCGAGATGAAATTATTTGCATCCAAAAAAAAAAAAATGCACCTTAAATTTGATGTATTTGGATAGTTTTTTTTTGTATAATTTTGGTAACATGTTTAACATTTGTTTGTGTTACTAATATTGGTGTAACAGGGGCATACGTGTCGACTATAGATGGCCAGCAAGGAAGCAGGTAAAATAAACAAGAAAAACATCCACATTTCCTTCTCCCCTCCCACGCTTCACTCAGTCTAATCTTACCGTACACTCTGTATATCATTGCCACCGCAGAACTCTTTTTAGTTGATAGCTATAGGATAATTAGGCACTATAACAGTAATTTGGAGTACTTTGCGTGAACTATACCTCAGACGTAACTGAAATCGAATAAGTTTTTATGAACGGTGCAACAGTGTAGAAAAAAACGATTATGTAATTCGCTTCCGAGGTTTCAAATTTATGCTGAAGTATATTTCATGAAAACGTGAGGCATTATTTGTTAGTGTTTCGTCAATTTGATCATCCCAATTTTTGTTCTGCTTGCAGGACGTCACTCTGAGCAAGATGGGCGGCTCGCTAGGTTTCAGTATTATAGGAGGCACAGACCATTCCAGTATCCCATTTGGTGCTAAGGAACCTGGTATTTTCATCTCACACGTAAGCTTACTGTTTTTTTTATATAATACGCGATAACTTTGACCGGTTTTATACCTTTAGATGGTTCCCGGGGGTACCGCAGCCAAAAGCGGTAAGCTTAGGGTGGGCGATCGCATTTTGAAGGTAAACGGGGCAGACGTCACACAAGCCACCCACCAGGAGGCCGTCATGGAATTGCTCAGACCGGGTGACTTCATCACTTTGACAATAAGGCACGACCCGTTGCCCGAGGGATACCAAGTAAGTACAGCCCGTCCAATACCGCAACCGTAAAAATTAATCGAGAAATAAATTACTTATATTTGTTACAAGCAACTCATGGTATCTTACGTAGATCCGATGGTAAGTCGTAGTCCGGTAGTCATCTCTAAAAATGATGTTGACGTTTCGAGGGGGTCTTTAACTGTCTTGTCTTTTCGCAGGAGCTAGTAATAGAAAAGGGAGACAATGAAAAGTTGGGAATGCACATTAAAGGTGGGCTTCAAGGCCAAAGGGGCAACCCCTTGGATAGATCCGACGAGGGCGTTTTCATCTCCAAAATCAATTCGGTGGGCGCTGCGAGGCGAGACGGTCGACTTAAAGCCGGTATGCGTTTGTTGGAAGTCAACGGAAAATCACTGCTAGGTAAATTTAATCAGTCGTCTTTAAATCGCATAAAGTCATAATAACGATTTTTTAGGTGCTACCCATCAAGAAGCGGTGAATGCTTTGAGATCCTGCGGAAACGCAATATATTTGGTCGTGTGTAAGGGATACGACAGAGGGGAAGTAGATAAGGCCGTAGCCGAAGGCAGACTAACCAGAACCGGATCCGTCAGCAGTAGATCTCAAAGCGTCAGCTCCCTGGACGTTCCCGACGAAGACATCCAACAGGTACGTGATGCTTCACTTGTGCCGTTCGTTTATTTAAACAAGTTTCGTAGGAACAAAAAATGAAATCCGAACTAGTACAGTTCGAGAAAGAAGAAGCAGAAAAGAGACTACAGCCGATACATCAGTCCGAGGAAGATCTGTCGATAGTGGAAGCGAAACCTTCCTCGCCGGCAGACAAAGTTCTAGATGTGGTGCGGGCAGTGGAAACCTTAGCCCACGGGCCGATGGAGAACTCGATGCCCCCGAAATCGCCCAATCCCGAACTGAAAACCACCACGATAGTCATGAGCAAGCACACTTTGTCGCCCCAGCCTACCACGGTGAGTTTATAATTTTTCTTTGTGTGGACATGAAAGCTTATCGTGCTTTTGTGTGTTTTGTTCGGTATTGCAAATTTCAGTAAAGGTAGTTAGTTGTAACGAGCGTGAATTGAAAGAAAGTAGATATAAAAAAAGCGATTATTGCTGCCATTCTGAAAAGAAAATACAATTTTAAATAAATAAAACTGTGTACACAAAAAAGAAAAAGAGATTATAAAAAGAGAGTCGCGGAAAAAGAAAAATATTACACACAAAAAAAGAAGAATAATTATTGAAGAACACCCTTCATGAGTCGACAACATGATTTCACATAACACAAAAATAAAAAAAAAAACACACAAAAACACTGTACCACAAAAAAAAACTATAAAATGAGACACACATACAACACAAAAACACGCCACAAGAACAAAAATAAAAATTACAATAAAAAAAAAAACACGATAAGAAAAAGAAAAAAAGCATTGGGGGGGGAAAAAATAGACACCCAAAAAAAAACAAAAAAAAACAAAACAACACAATAGAAAAATACTATGATGACAACAAAAAAAAATAATACGTCATCCTCATAAAAAAATAAAAAAAAAAAAACAATAAAATAAAAAAAAGAAGCGACGAATTAAGCAACGATTCTCCTGTCGAAAAAATATTGAGCATGGCCATTTCACTTGCACAGCCCCAGCGCCCCATAGCAAAACAAGGGGAATGAACCTAAACGGAACAAACCAAGCCAAAGAAAAAAAATCAAAAGCCAAAAAAAAGGCCTTAAAAAAAAAAAAAAAAAAAATACTTATTAAAAAAAACAAATCAGATTAGTATTTTCGATAATGTTATTATGTACATTTTACAAAACAGCAAAAACAATTATTTTAAAGCAAACTATTTTTTACTTATAACTAATAGGTAACACATAACAAGGAGAATTTGAAAAATAGAAAATTTGCCTGTTTCCGTGACTAAAAGTTGGCTTATTGGCTCAAAAATTTTAGAAAAAGAAAATAATGTAAAAAAAATTAAAACCATTCTCTAAATTTTGATTAATGTTTGTAGGAAATTCTCAACGATACAGTAATTAAAAACAAATTAAAAAACTCATTTTTCATATAAAATTTTGAGAGCTGAAACAGAAAAAATATTTGAAACTAACCTGTTTTATTGTCTTACCAATTGTTGCCTTTTCTGTGTGAGCCATTTCTAGTTAGTCCAAACCAATCGTCTAACCACTAAATATCTCATATCTTATTTGTCATTGCTACTTACTACCTACTGCCACAGTGTTGCTTTGGCACAGAGTGACCTACTAATCTTCAAGTGCTAATGTCGCACTAGACAAAATAAAATAATATTTTTAACTGATGGTATTGTTTGAAGCAACTACTCTGCGAGCTACACGCCTCGTTATTTTCTTCAATATTAGTTAACCAATAATTGATCAGAAAAGTTTATTTATTTAAAATTACTATTTTATGCGTGGCAGATACAAAAAAGTAAAAAAATAACGTTTTTTTTTTAATTTCTCCATAATATAAATTTTACTGAAGTTTCCATTACTTTTTTTTTTAATCCTTGCATGTGTGTCATAGAAGCAAAAATGTGTGTATATTTCGCTAAATGTCTTGTCCTCCTTAGGTAAGTACGATAGTTTCGACCCTAGCCTATTTTATAGCATCAAATATAAGTTTAACTAATTGGTTTAATCTAAAAGTGACTGGCTTGTAAATAATAGTTGACGAAGACGTACATAACTCTCTGTGTAAAAAGAACCCAGCAGCATTATTAACGTTATATACATATAGCGATCCCATCGGTTCAGCATGATAGGTGTCCTAATTATTGTCGTTGTTTAGTCGATGCATGAGGCGCATGCGATTTGATTTAATGACTTGATTTCTGATTGCAGATCAGTCGACAGACCAATCCATAACGTTTACTTAAAAAGAGTGAGATTCTGTTGTAACGGGAAAATGTTATATTGTGAAATGTTTCCAATCTCTGTGTTGAATGGCGTGATTGTCTTTTATATATGACAAAATGATAAAAAATCCTGGTGCTCATAATCTTAAAACGTTTTAGTTGAGGCGTTAACAATTTTTTTGTGGATGTTTGGTGGCTTATATGTTCTCGTTGTTAAAATGTCGAGCAAATTTTAACTGATTCAATCAATTTAATTCCCTTTAATTTGTTGATCACATTTAAACGTACCGACTTTCAGAATAAAAGTCAATCATGATAATAGCATACCACATTCCCTAAACTGACTTTTAGGCGTTCATACAGATTTCTACAACTGGAAGTTTTTTAATTGTCTTGGTTGAATCGCTTTGACGAAATAGTAATAAAATGTCATGTTTGTGAAACAATTTTGAATGTCAAATGTATAAAAGAAATCAACTATTACAGCTGCCGTACTGGATATTTTTATTATGTGAACTAATTTTTATGTTCAGTAATATTCTGATTATGTGGTTGATAATGAACAGTTTTGGTTATTTTGGCAGAAATATGAACTTAAATGACCATTACTTCGAAGTGGTCAGTTGTATCGTGTAAAAGATATCGAGACAAATGTATTGTAATAGAGTTAGGGAAATAATAAAATAAAATGTATTTGGCATGCATTCCAACATCTGGTAAAGCGAAAAGCAAGTTAGCAGTCTTCGTATCACATTCAACAAAATGAGATGTTGCTAAATTTGTTCATATCAGAAGGGCGTAAAAGCCACTATAGTCGGTTTTGGGTTTTTAGGGCGTATGACCCCATTTAATCAATTCGATTATTAAAATGTAAAATGTCGATATGTAAAAGTAATTTTTAAATTTTTTATTGTTGCCACTGACTTCCTAAGCAATCCTCAAACTCTGTTTATAATTTACACCAAACTAATACAACTGCAATAACAAATACGTAATTAATTTTATTTAATATTTAAAACAAAAATTTGTGTTGTAATTTCAAATATAAATAAGATTGTTACTGTTGATTAAATATTAATAGTTCTAAAAATTCTCAGAATTGCTCGATGAATCAGAACCAGTTCTACATCTCCGATTTATTGCAAATTTATTAAAGCTAAACGATTTGAACATTACATGTACCTATGTAACGTGTCCAATTTATTGAGCAGATAACTAGTAATTGTAAAACATATTTAATATGTAAATCATAGTAATTTTCTAGTTTCAATAAATTGTCCAAGAAATTGTAGATGTTAAAACCGGTTTATTGCTTTATTTGGTGTTTTTAGTGACTTAATATTCAAAAGTACAAAATTTCGTTAAATTCTTCAGTGTTTATACTTTTATTTTAAATATTTAAAGAATATAACACATACAAGTTTTTTATTACAGTTAAAGCTTAAGTTTATTTTGTGGTTTGCTAATGATAGATTTTTATTCTAAAACCGGTAGCCTTAAATTTGGAATTGGTAAATGTATTGTAATTTTGTAATATATGAAAAGATACTGCTATATTATACGTACATTATTAAAAGTTTTTCTCAGTAAATAGTACTACTAATCATCCTGCATTGAATACCTACCCACAATATTTAAAGAGCCAAGATGATTGAGCAGCACAACCTATAGCCTATAAGCTATTTGTCAGTCATACCTCAAATGTCATTACTGTTCGGTGCCTACTGACACAAAAAATTAATTTATATCTACTAGCACAATACTCTGCCAGTAGGTGCAACGTTTTGTGAAAGTAGGCATTGTGTAGTAATGACATTTAAGATTTGACATGTACTTCATAGGTTATATTTATATCATCCACACTCAAATGGAACTAATTGAAGTTGTATGTGGTGCTTCTTCGAAAGATAAACGTATGACGTTTCGGCTGTTGCTATTTTCTTGATAATAAATTACTTATTGTAGGTACATATTTTCAGTTATTTAGTCAGTTAATCTTTGCTGCTTTTGTATTACTGTTTGTATTTTCTGGATGTGATTTACCATATCATAGAGTACCAATCTGTATACATTTAACTGTGTAGTGACTGCCAATAGAAATTTTCGTTCAAATTGTGGGGAGAATGGACTACTTTTTACTTTGCGACACAAATAGTTACTTTGCTTAACAATAATTAAAATCAAAACACCAGCTCGTATAGAAGAGTCTTATAAATATATTTAGATAGAATTTAAAAGTTATCCTGTATTTATTCTTTGTGAGTAAATATAAATATGCTGTGGCACAGGGTGGGACAGAAAAAGTGACATTTTTTCTGTAAGATTTACAGTAAGTAATTTTTTTACAGTGTAATAACTATGATAACAATGGTGCTTTTTTGATATTGACTACAGTGTCAACCAGTACTAGTTGCTGTATGTTCTTTAATAACGTCAAGTGCTCTGATTAGGCCAAACTGTACAAGGTATCACAGAACACTTTTCGGATAAAACTAGATGTTACTAACCGCAGTAAGAATTAAAGTGCATGATATCAAAGAAATAGGGAAAACGTTTACTTAGTTACATCTTGTAACCTATTTATGAAGTTTGGGCACTTTCTTTTAACTAAAAATGTATCTGTTCTTCCAGTTTTGTCATATATTAACGTGATTGTCATTATTAAATATTTGTAGTGTTGCGACGTGCAATGATAAAGGAATTAAAATTATCAGAATGGTATATTTTCTATCAGATAATATATTCGACATCTTGTAATGTTTTTTAAAGCAGTCAAAGTGGCATTCTTTTAGAAGTCACTAAAGAATAAGAAAGTTTGCAGTATTGTAAACTCTATTTTGGCTCCAAAAAAGTGTGTAATAGAATAAACTGTGGAAAAATTGTGGCATTTTCGTTAAAACCTAATTTTGACTGGAATTAATTTCTAATATATTCCTGGAATAAATTAGGAAGTCGTAATGGTTATAATTTTTGTTTTTCATAGATAATATAGAATCGTTGTATTGAGAGTGTATTGCAAACTTATTTTCCGCTACTTTAGAACCACAATGGCAGTTAGTGGGTGACATTTTTTGTCGAAACATCAATTTGACTTGTTTTGTTTTATTTTGGTGGTTATCATCAATGAAAAACATAAATTTTAGCAATCGTTGCCGTTTCCTTAAGTTTTAACAAAAATATAATTTTTTCGAACTGGATACAGAAATTTTAGTGTTTGTTTCTGTTTTTGGTACCAGAATGGCAAATTTATGATGCTTTCTTATCTATCTGATTTATAATTATTTTTCATCTGATAAAAAATATATTTTTTATGCTTGATTTTGTACTGTACACCACTGCTTTATGTAATTTCGTAACAGTGTTTGTATGTTCAGTTACGTAATCTATTCATAAATTCTTCCAGTACAAGTGTCCGAAGCAGAAATGTTTCTTACGTGTCTTGTGTAACCTTTCAATTGCTCAGTTGATTTCACTTCCAATTAGATTTTATTTTAAATGTTCATGTGCCTTTCTGTTGTTTAATAACATGTGTATTTAAAAAAATGTCTTTGCCCCGGATGTTGTATTCCATATCTTTACATTTAATATCTATAAATACGCTTCATACTTTTATTAATGTGTAAGCCATTTTTGTATTTGTAATATTTTTAATAATTAAGTGTACAAATCGTTTATACTAAAAAAAAGGGGAGACGTCTCCTGTACTGGACCCAGAGAGATATGTAAGCTAATTGTTCAAAATAGCCATAAATTATTCTAAAATCATTAGTAGTGTTTTTATAAAAGAAAGTATTTTATTCGAATAGGATTTAAGATTATTTATGTTACTTGGAGTCTTTCAAAATATACTTCACATTTTATATAGCCTTCTAAATAATGAACCACCTATTCATCGACAGCTCCATTCTAAAGATTTGTAAGGATCGCAGATAATGAGTAAAACCGGTGATTATTTTAAAAGACTCTGCATATTGTTATTTCGATAAATCCAGCCAGTAGCCATACCAGATTTTATATTTGATGTTATAACTTGGGTGAATATCGTCTATTTATTTATATGTAAAATCTAAATATTATATTAACAATTAAATGTGATTTTCAATGGCAAATATATTTTTGGTATAAAATTTGTTGGGGTTTTCTTTACTGGTTCTGTGTCCCTTGTGCTTCGCTGTGCCTTGGTGATGGTTCTAAAATATTTTTCTCTACCTCTAAAATGCAGACTTTCTAACAGGAACCTATAATGCATGCCGCTACATTACCAAAAACTGTCAAACCTAACGTTCAGGTGGACACTGGTACCCTGCAACACAAAAACGAAAGCCAGCTACTTAGCACCCATACCGAAAATCCTTCCGAAACAAGCAGCCCCCCTCCTAGTAGAGATAATCCCACTCCTGATCTGGAATACATCGAAGCCCAAAACCATCCTGAAACCGTCGATTTTTCCGTACCTAGTAACATAATCCCTCCACCGACAAACTATTCAGAGATTTTCAATTATCCAACTCCTCAACCCATGTCTGCTGTAGCTTTACCTCCTTACAATGATTTTACGAATATACCTTCCATGCAGAATGTTATCCAGTTTAACAGTAACGACTTTGGTTCACATACCAGATTATCTAGTTTTACAAACAGGGAACAATTCGGTACTTTCTCTTCTTCAACAAACATGGCTGTCTCAATACAAGCCCCCATAATGAGTAGTAATATTTCGCTAAATAGGTATTCGATGGTTCCCATGTCTCAACCCCAACAGTTCGAAATTAACGTTTACAATACTTTGCCACAAGCTAAGTCGTATGATAATATTTATTCGCCCGAACCAAACCACTTCTTCCCTCCCTTAACGAATATGCCCCACACTCTAGATCTACCGGATTCTCTCATAGGCGTACCGCCACCCCCTGTTGATATAACTCCTATAACAACAGCGGATACCGTTCTATTAGACGATCTGGATATCCTTAAAGTACCCCCACCACCACCAATAGATTTTGACCTGGAGGATGATTTTCCTTTTGACAGTATACCCCCACCTTTACCGCCTACCCCACCACCAGTGCTTCCAAAAACTCCTCCTCCTGCTTCGCCAATTGTTCACGAAGTTCCACCCCCTGTATTGAAATCAAGAGAGGTGATTGATTTCCCCCCACCTGTACCTCCCCTACCATCCGAGGAGGAAATTAATCAAACAGAATCATTTGCTGTACCTCTTACTACAGACATATCGAGAGTTTCTGAGAAACTTCACATATTTTCCCCAGCCAAAACTTCCCCATTACTTTTACCCAAACCGAAAAAGGTCCCTCCTCCCGTTCCCGTAAAAAGATCTACTTTGAGCAGAGCTTTCCACAGTGAAGAAAAGCTGTTGGACTCTGATGGGCCTAAAGAAAAAATAAGCTTTTCTAAACCAGTTGTGTCGGCAAGACCTCAGTCTCTAATTTTTTCTTCTAACAAGCTTGCTGGATTTACTAGCGGATCTTTAGGGAAGTACGGTATGGTGCAAAAGGTAATACTTCATTTATTTTTCGTTTCTGTACATTAAGACTAGATAGATTTCTTTGACACACGTAAATGAAGATAGTGCCTTAAAGCTTACTCTGACCAATTTTGACAGCCCCCACAGTCTCCCAAGGGCCACACCCAGAAGCAATCAGTCAGCGACAAGAAGAAATTCTTCGAAACTGCCATGGAGGAGAGCCAAAAACCAACGAAACCAGGTAACGTATTTGGGATTTATGCTGTTTGTGCAATTTTGGAACGCGTCTGATGAGTGTCAACTAATCCGCTTGCGCTTTTAGGAAAAGTATTTAGTTATTTAAGTGCGGACGAACTAGAGAAGCTGAAGGCGGAAGAAGAAAGGAAGATAGCTAATTTATCGACTGCCGAAATCAATTCCGTGAATGAATTAGACCATTCCGACGCCGAGTCAATTGAATCGCAAAGATCAAGGTAATACTTGTTCCCTTTTTTTTTTTTATTTTTTCCTACACGACTCAAATGTTTTTTGATCATTCTTGGAGTAATCTTTTTTTGTTTGTGTAGACCTTCGAGTACTATCGGTATCGTGCGAACAGCGAAAGCTGAGAAGCGCCTCAAAGATAGAATGAGAGAAGAAGGTCTACTAACCGACGAGGACGATACGCCTCTGTCGCCTGCCGAAGAGCGAGCGCTGAGGGCGGAGAAACGGGCGGCCTGGCGTGCCGCTCGCTTGAAGTCCCTAGAACAGGACGCTATCCAGGCGCAGATGGTAATTAAATCCATGACCGACATGGTGGGGGCGGGGGAAGTACCCACTCCACCCATCGCGGAAGTTCCAATTAAAGAAGAGGTAAGATTCAACACATTATATTTTCTTAATTTATTCAGTTACAAAAATATAGAAACGTGTTAAATCCGTTAGAAAACTATTATTCTAACAAAAGTTTTTAATACATTTTGCTGAAAAGCATTATTAAAACATTTTAGGCAAATTTAACAGAACGAGGTATTTTTGTGACCGACGTTTTCGAATCTAACGACCTTAGGATAGATACAAATCTCGCATGTTCATTTTATTTATATTTTTTATAAACATAATTTATTCCTACTAACTTACGTCATATTTAACAATTGCAAGTTGTCTTATTTGTTTTAGTAATTTTCCTTTTTATTATTTATTATCATCCGTAACTAATGCCGTTGTTCTATACTAACCAGTGTTGCCAGAAAATGATGTACTCGGACGCGAAACAAGTAATTAAATTTGTCATTAGCATTTTCACGCTTGATTATAATTTCGTTGTCATTGCAAAAAGGATCGTGGTAAAACTCATTTCCAATAATATTGTAATAAAAATAATTTTGCATATACAGAGTGTTCAAGAAATGGTGGACGTTCCCTCAGATTTGTATAAATTTTGTAGAATGAAGTCACAAATTCAAGACATCAAAAAGTTTTTGATTTCATTTTAAGTATGAAAATTCATTCCATACATAGTAAAACTTTCTACGATAATCTAGCCAAATTTTCGTCTTCTAGTTCATTTTAAAATAAAATTTGTGATTTTTTTAAAGGATCGCATGTCATTGTCAATTAACTTTTTTTACACTCGATTCTGTTGTTAAAGAACTGCACATTTCCACGACATCTCTCGCATACGAATTTCATGCTGCAATTCACATTCTTTATCATACAACATTCCTGACTGTTAAATTCATTTGTTACAACTACCCTGATTATTAGATTGGCCACTAATATTCGCACATAATTCCTTTTTTAAAAACACACGAATAACAAAAATGTGAGAATAATGTGTTTCCCCGTTGCACGCATGTGACAAGAAAGGAAACGCCTAAGTTGGCAACTGACAAATTGTCGAATGAAACTATGCAGCACTAATCTCTCTCTTTTTGTCGAAGTGTGTGCACCCAGAGAATACTTTTAATAATTTTATCAGATTAAGAAATAGAAAAAATTGTGGATTGATTTGTTTTCTATCTTTTTAAGATTTTCAGCCTTTTTTGCACAAAAGACGAGTACTTTTTTGTTGTCTGCAAAATGAAACATTATCAAGCTGATAACTCTACAGATTGAGCCCTGGTAAAAAACTTCTAACGTCGTTTTTATAAGATTTTCACAAATTGAGAGATCGTCCACCATTTCCACCACACTCTGAGGAAAATTTCTGAAGTTAAAATAAATCGATCAAACCAACCTAAATAAAATTTAATTTCCTTTCAGTCTATGCGTTTTAAAACCAATTTGAATTTTAGCTATACAGGGTGTGGCATGTATAATCTATAAAAATTAGACTACACCTTCCTAACGATATTGTCGCCTCATCTGTTACACAAACATAAACAGGAAAGTCTACATGATTGGCACATTGCCGTAAAAACCATCTAAAAACGCGTTCGTTGATCACAATCCGGGGGTAAAATCTGTTGAACTAGTTGCAAATCTATATTTGCAACAGCTGATGACTTAAGATGCTATGTACGGTACGAGATGAGGTTCCTACTTGATATGCGAGTCGTCGAGTGCTAATTGTGGGGTCTTCGTCAAGATTTTCCAACACTGCATCTTCAACATTAAGGTTCACTTGCTGACCACGTCCTTCTCCTCGAGGAATAACACTTCCCGTATCTCGCAGCCCCTGAACGCACTGTAGGATTGTATTTGCACATGGGGGGGTACAACCTAGTCGCCGCGAGTGCATTTTCTCCGGCTGCACCATACACTAACACCATATCAACACGTTCGGAGATAGTAAATGCATTGTTTTCTCGGTTCATTGTAAAACTAGTTTGTGCACAAACTAAAAAATTAAGCAAAGTAAGAAATAAGAATCTCGTTTTTAGTGTAATCGGCACGCTATTCTTATTTTTTACTTCTTTAAAAATACACTCACTATCGTGGAATTACAAAATAAAAACGTGTGTGGAATCTTTCACTTTTTAACGATGGATGATGCTTAATATTTAATAATTAAGTGAATACAAATACAAAATCAGTTGACTGCACAAATTTTTTGACAAGTTACCTTTTAGTATTACCGGTATTAGATTATACTGACTCAAATTATAAAGTTGCATCTCGGGTCGCATAAAAACATTTCCAAAGTTTTAATAAATAACACAAGGTCGGCCTTCAATTTTGTTGAATAAATGAACTTTAATTTACAAAAAAAAAAAACGCGAAGATGGACGTTTTTCGTATAAGACTTTTATATTGGTACAAACATCATCAGGAAGCAGTAGTTTAATTTTTATAGACTATACACGCCAAACCCTGTATCTGAAATGTCAAAATTTATTACTGTCGCCCTATTTTAACTTTAGCAATCTCCTATCATTAATGAAACACTTTATAACAATTTAAAGTACTAGTCACATTAACAAAAGCTAAAACTATGCTGACACCACGTCGAAATAGAATTATTTAGAACTTTTTGGTAGCTTTTTAAATCCATGCACATGGAGGGGCAATTCTCTTTCTTACCGTTCAATTTTAAATGCAGGTTAAAAAATTAACTTCAACAAATTTGTCAAAATCTGAAGGAGTAGTTCAAACGTCTCAATTTTAGGTGTAGATTGTTGATAATAGTGAATCAAAGAACATTAAAATTTCTATATACCGTGATAAAAATATCTTTTTTAACTTCAAATTAATCGACATATGACAATCTGTTCTTTATTTTTAAAAATCATTTTTGAATTTGTTATTAATTTTATAATTTCCTGTCACGTTTCTATTCCTCATATGTCAATTACGTTGCCCTTTAAAAACTGGAGGGTTATGAAATAGTAACATTTAAATTCTGGATCGATTTGCAATTCATTTTATCATCCGAGTTTTAACAACTCAAAAAATGTTAGCACTCTACTAAAATTTAACGGGACGAATCAGAATTGCACCTTTAACTATCTAGAACGCCCCGGTCGGTGGGGTTCGCGCAGAGCAACGTTGGCAACACTGTACGACTAACCCAGACCCGCTGGACGCGACACCTTGTCCAGGGCGTTGGTGCTACTAACAGCATTGCATGTCCTGTTCAGTTGAGGCCGTCTAGCGCCGACTTCCCCAAGTTGGCGGTAAGAATGAAGCCGGGCAACACGACGGTGCGGGAGAGCGAGAAGGTCCTTGGCGAGACGATAACGAGGAAGACGGAAGAGTACGTCGACGAACAGACAGGTGAAAAGCGCGTACGCACCGTCGAGTACGTTGAGAAGCTAATCGAAAGAGAGGTATAGATAGACACTCAACCCATTCAATCAGCATGACACTCTCTTGCACTCTGGTTAGTTTAACACCATTCTTCTATGTAGTTAGTGTTTTTTTTTTTTGGCCAAACAATATTATTCCCGCCGACGAGGTACTAAAAAAGGGGCTTCCGCTGCTGGGGTGGGCCGGGAATTGTTAACGACGCGTCAACTGCGCCTTTTCGAGGGTGCAGGTGCTTGCGAGAGGTGCTTATATTGATTTCGATAAAAAAAATAAGCGTTCAAATTTGATGTTCATCATACAGGGTGATTCATAAGTAATGGTACAGCAGACGAACTATTAATATTGAATTAATCACATTTAACGTAAAAATAAAACCGAATTTTTTATTTTTTTTGTAATGTAATGTTTTTTAATTTTTTTTGTGAAAGTTTGTGATTGTAGGTTACTTGAAATGGGAAATTACTTACAAGGTATCTATTAACTCGATTGCAAAACATCTGCAAGATGTTCCCTTTCAAAATTCAGGTTCAAATGAACCGTTGGTCAGTTCCGGCTTTTTACAAAGATATGGCAGCTTGAAAATGACCTGTTTATAATGTTACTTTTTTTAATATATTCAAAACTAGTTGAAATTTCAAAATCAAACTTTGGGCACACATTTTTGGCTATCGATGGCTTATGTCGACGCAGGTCATATCAGATTTGAGAGCTCTAGTATCAAAGGCGGCAATCTCCACCATTTCCACTTTTTGTTAAAGCGCAAAAAACTGCTACACTCTTATTACTGCTTAATTCAAAGGAAGCATAGTTTCCAATGAAAGAAAATGCTAAACTACATCAGATTTTAAGGTCAATGTACCTAAATTTTTTATCTTTTCTGAAAAAATGTACAAAAATAAATGGAGAATGCCATGTTTGATACTAACAGTTGGATTTTGGAAGATTTGTTACCAAAGGTTGCACTAAAATGAGTTATAAAATAAATACCAAGTATTTTGGAATGGACTTACAGACAAAAGAATAAAATATTAAAATTAATTCAACAAAACGTATAATCAAAAATATTTTACTGAACACATTATACAAGTAGTTGTAAAGAAAACGAACTAAATAATAATAATTTCCTAACTATCTGAAAAAGCATGTCGTGTCACGTCACGTCATATGTTCGCTGTGAGCCATCTGATTGGCCAAAACGGATATTGCCGTCTCTGATTCTAATTAAAATTTAAACTGGTATAATTATGAATTAAATTACATTTTGTGAAAAAATAAAGAAAACACCTAATTATATTTTGCATATATACATATAATTCTTTGCGAGAGAGTGGGTATCCGCTATTCTAATTTTTGATTTTGTATCCTAATCAACCGATTTGAAACAAGTCTCAAGTATCTAGTTGCTTTATTTGAGGCGGTGCTACATTTTGAAAATTCAAAAATTTTTTTTCAGTTTTCAAAAAATTATTTTGCGAAAACTATCGAACCGATTTTAATGAAATTTGGTGTGTTGTTTTATTATACTCTAAAGTTTTTTTTTTACGGAAATTAGAATGCCCTCGGAGTAATTAAAATATTAAAAAAAAATAAAAAATTGTCCAAGAGACTTGATTATTCTGCCTTTTTTTCATCAATTATTGCTATTTTGCAACATCGGTGATAAATTTAAACATTTTTAACTTACAGTGTATTGTGCAAAATTCAATTGTAAAACTTTTTTCCTCTTCAATATTCTTCCACAATGCATAGGTTCCAAGATATAAGTAAAAAACTCTGATGAAATAGGTATTTTTAAAATTTTTTTAAACATTTTTGCAATTTTAAAAATGTTGCGGACCTCGCCCAGATCTAAGGGTCTACACTTTTATTATTTGATTTGTACTGCTCCGCCCTGGTCTATTGAGCAAGGAATGCTTTGTGGAAGTTACACTCAAATTAAAGAACACCCTGTGTATATTACTTTTGATCTAACTTGTAGAAGGAGTTACATATGGCTTTATGCCACATATCACATAGACTTGTATGTTTCAAGTCTTTGAGGGGCAAATAAACAATTCCGTGTAGTTTTTTTAAGAACGATATTTGAAAGTTGGTGTCGAGACATAATTACTTTATTTTTATTAAGAAAACAAAAACAACTTTTATGCTAAATCTACCGTAAAGTTACAGGTAAAACAATTAGTCATTTTAACGCTGTAAATGTGGTCTACGTAGTGCCCTTTAGGAGCTAGATTAAAATTAACACTGCATTATGATTTCCCATCCCAAATAATCTGCGCCTACCTTTTGTAGATGCCTTAAAATCAACAGTAAGAACCTAAATTAAGGTCAGGGCGAGCCTAGGGATTCTGATGGCGAGTTCACCCCCACAGAGCTTAACCTGAGAATAATGGCAGGTTATGAAAGTACAATGTAAACCTGTAGCTTGTGGAGATTATCGTATTTGAAATAATATTTTGACTTTTATTGTCCACAGTTATTATGTTCTACCGTTGTTTGTGAATCACCCTGTATTTAATTTAAAGGGGAAACAATTCTTCCACTTGATTTTTATAGTAAAATGCAGTGGCGACTGGTGAAGAAAATGATTACCATATTTTGATAATGAAGCGTGGGATCCATAGGGGACGGATTTCCATGCCCACAGAAGGAACTTTCATGATGAAAAAATTTCAAATGAAAGTTATGAAATAAAAGAGTAATAGGGCTTGCTGACATTGAGTTCTCAAAAAACGTTGCATATAAAAGGGATTTTTTTATTTATAATTTTTATTCGACACTAACCTGTTATTTTACAAATTTCATAACGCTATAATTTCATAAAAATGAATATTTTAGAAAAAATTACAAAATCTCAAGATTGGTGACCTCTGATTTAATTTTTTATTTCGCAAAACTTTTTTTATCATGAAAGTTGTCCATTCACGCCCAGAAATGATCTAAAAAATGGTATGGGTATCGATACTTTATTATCAAAATGTTTTATCATTTTAATTTTCATCAACCCATTACTGTCAGTTTATATTACCCCTTTAAATATGAATTGCTTTTGTAATTTTATGAGTAAAAAAAGTAAGTTCAAAGTATATGAAATTTCCATAAGTTTTTTTATTTTTGAAATAGTATCTGTGTCCCGATTTATACGTATACAGGAATTAACGTAATAAGCAACAAAATAAATGAGAGAAACTTCCTTGAAATTGTAAATCCGGAGCTTGCTACGTGTTTATTGGTGCAAATATATCAGAAACTGTTAATATTTTTCATTTTACATATGAGGCATTCCATGCCAAATCGACCACTTTTAACCCTGACCTCTTTCGATTTGGCTGAAACTTTTTTATTGTTTTCTACCCCATTGAAAACCTCTGAGATTTTTTTCAAATTTTTTCACCCAACTAATAAAGTTATGAATTTTTGNACAAAAACAACTTTTATGCTAAATCTACCGTAAAGTTACAGGTAAAACAATTAGTCATTTTAACGCTGTAAATGTGGTCTACGTAGTGCCCTTTAGGAGCTAGATTAAAATTAACACTGCATTATGATTTCCCATCCCAAATAATCTGCGCCTACCTTTTGTAGATGCCTTAAAATCAACAGTAAGAACCTAAATTAAGGTCAGGGCGGGCCTAGAGGTTCTGATGGCAGGTTCGCCCCCACAGAGCTTAGCCCGAGAATAAAAGCAGGTTATGAAAGTGCAATGTAAACCTGTAGCTTGTGGAGACCATCGTATTTTAAATAATATTTTGACTCTTACTGTCCACAGTTGTTAAGTGTTCTACCATTGCTTGTGAATCACTCTGTATTTAATTGAAAGGAAAAACAATTCTTGCACTTGATTGTTGTGTTAAAATGCAGTGGCGACTAGTGAAGAAAATTGATACCATATTTTGATAACGAAGAGAGGGACCCATAGGGGATGATTTGTATGCCCGCAGAAGGAACTTTCATGATGAAAAAAATTCAAATGAAACTCATGAAATAAAAGAGTAAAATAGGGCATGCTGACAGAGATCTCAAAAAAGGTTGCATTTTTTTATTTATATTGTTAATTTGATACTAACCTTTTATTATACAAATTTCATAACGCTATAATTTTATAAAAACAAATATTGTAGGAAAAATTACAAAATCAAGATTTAATTTTTTATTTCGCAAAAAATTTTTTCATCGTGAAAGTTGTCCATTCAGGCCCAGCAGAAATGATCTCCTAAAAAATGGTATGGGTCTCAGTACTTTGTTATCAAAATATTTTATCATTTTAATTTTCATCAACCGTCACTGTTAGTTTTATATTACCCCGTTAAATATGAATTGCTTTTGTAATTTTACGAGTAAAAAAAGTAAGTTCAAAATATATGAAATTTCCATAAGTTTTTTTATTTTTGAAATAGTATCTGTGTCCCGATTTATACGTATACAGGAATTAACGTAATAAGCAACAAAATAAATGAGAGAAACTTCCTTGAAATTGTAAATCCGGAGCTTGCTACGTGTTTATTGGTGCAAATATATCAGAAACTGTTATATTTTTCATTTTACATATTCCAAATCGACCACTTTTAACCCTGACCCCTTTCGATTTGGTTGAAACTTTTTTTTTGTTTTCTACCCCATTGAAAACCTCTATTTTTTTCAAATTTTTTCACCCAACTCAAAAAAAGATGAATTTTTGAAAAAATGCTCTTTTTTAAAAAAAGAACCATATCTTTTTCAAAATATGAGTTATTGGGACGTTTTTTTTCAAAATTATTGGTTTTAAATGTACCTTTTGAAAAAAAATGTATCAAAATTATCTGGGTCTATTTTCACTCTTTTTTTAATTTTCTAAAAAAAAACGAATATTTCTCGATGATTACCATTTTTGAAAAAAAAATTTTTTTCTTATAAAAAACTACTCAAATTTTGCAGTGGTTTTTCCGTTTTCTATTTTTTTTTATTGAAAAAAAATTGTTTTTCAAATACATCTAAGTAGCTTATTTCACACCATTTTGAAAATTTTTGAAATTGTATATAAAATCCCAAAATTGGAAAAATTTGTTCTATGCTAGGATTGATGACAATTTCAAAAAGTCAAAAGAGGATGGTTTCAAAATGATTTATTTGAGTTCAAATGTTTTGTCTTTCTTTAAAGCCCACTGTTCGTCCAAAAATGGCCCAAATAACAACTTTTTTAAAAAAAGTAGAAAAAAAAATATTCAAAACGATCTTCTATTTTTTTCTTAACATTTTAAAAAAAAATCGAAATTTTTTTCATACCTCAATACCTTTCATACATTTTTTTTCAATTTTGGGATTCTATATACATTTTCAAAATGGTGTTATGTGAAATATGCTAAATTTGAATTTTTTCAAATAATTAAAAAATAGAAAACGAAAAAACCACTGAAAAAATTTGAGGATTTATAAAAATTTTTTGTTTTTTCGAAAATTGAAAAAAACCAATGAAGATAGGTCCAGATGATTATGATCTATTTTATTTTAAAAAGTACATTTAAAAACAAAAATTTTGAAAAAACTCGTCCCGATAACTCAATTTTTAAAAAAGTTAGTTATTTAAAAAAAAAGCTATTTTTTTCAAAAATTCATAACATTTTTTAAGTTGGGTGAAAAAATTTGAAAAAATTCTCAAGAGGTTTTCAATGGGATAGAAAACAATAAAAAAGTTTCAGCCAAATCGAAAGGGGCCAGGATTAAAAGTGGTCGATTTGGCGTGGAATGACCCATATACAGGCTGTTACAAATTCACTTTTCACTACAGGGATCTCGAAAATGGTAAGAGATACAAACTAGCTTAAATGGGGGCAAAGTTGCGTAATAAGGGGACCAACATCTAAAATATAAATCTAAAAAATCACGGTAGGTATTAGTTTTTGAAATATTTGAAAAAACCGAAATCCAGCCTTGTTTGAGGTGATATTGAAAAAAGAATAATAATAATAGTGGTAATAGTTTAAAAGACTAGATGGATTTCAGGGGGTCTAACAACTCTTACAGTGTACGTTAATTCAATAAACATAGAAATCTAAATATTTTTTTTTTTTTAATTTTGGAGTGAATACACTGAAAATGAATTTTTCAAGACAAAACGTCTGAATCTGGTTCGGGCTGAGGCAGTACAGTATTGGAGGTCATGAAGGCTTGCAAAAAGTGTAATAAAATTTCCAGGGTTGTATTTAAAAAAATGAAGTTGATGAGGGTCCTGGAAAGACGAAACGTTTACATATAAAAATTGATTATGCCATTCAGAAGGCAAAAAGTTGCCATGAGAAAGTGTTTCTCTTTTTTCAACTATCACCTCAAACAAGGCTGAAATGAAACAAAAACGGATTTCCAAAATTTCAGTTTTTTTCAAATATTTCGAAAACGATTAGCTACAATCAAGTTACCTTGATTTTTCAGGGACATATTGTTAGTCCCCTGATTACGCAACTTTGACCCCAATTAAGCTAATAGTGAGAAGCGAATTTGTAACAACCTGTATATAATGTGTTATTATACCTTTGATTAAAAAAATGTTAATACAATTTTTCAAAAATTGACACCAAAGAAAATTGTAATAGGCTTGGGATTTGTAATTTTCGGGGTTACAATTTTCAAGAATGTGCATATATTTGAATCAATTTTTTAAATTTATTATGTCAATACCTTTATATCCCTATAAACTAGGACACATTATATGTCTTTGCTTTGAAAACATAAGGATTAGCTGAAATAATAATTTAAAAAAATGCTTGAAAATAGTAAATTAATTTAAAAACTAAAACAAAATTCCAGTCAAACGCAAAAATAATATTGTTTGGTGGCTTTGGATATTTATTCGTATGTGATGTGCCTTGCCTGTCTGTTTTTTAACAATTATTTCATTTACAACAGTTACACGACCCACATTTCAGTACACCGTNTAATAAGCAACAAAATAAATGAGAGAAACTTCCTTGAAATTGTAAATCCGGAGCTTGCTACGTGTTTATTGGTGCAAATATATCAGAAACTGTTAATATTTTTCATTTTACATATGAGGCATTCCATGCCAAATCGACCACTTTTAACCCTGACCTCTTTCGATTTGGCTGAAACTTTTTTATTGTTTTCTACCCCATTGAAAACCTCTGAGATTTTTTTCAAATTTTTTCACCCAACTAATAAAGTTATGAATTTTTGAAAAAAATGCTTTTTTTAAAAAAAAAGAACCATAACTTTTTCAAAAAGTGAATTATCGGGACGTTTTTATTTTTCAAAATTTTTGGTTTTAAATGTACTTTTTGAAAAAAAATGGATCAAAATTTCTGGGTCTATTTTCACTGTCTTTTAAATTTTCTAAAAAAACTAATATTTCTCGACGATTACTATTTTTGAAAAAAAATTATTCTATGCAAATTGATGACAATTTCAAAATCAAAATGATTTATTTGAGTTCAAAAGCGATGCATGTCTTTTTTTAAGGCCCACTGTTCGTCCAAAAAAACAACTTTTTTTTCATTTTCTTTGTTTTTGGATGTAGTTTTCGAAAAAAAATATAAAAAAACTTTTTAAAAAAAAATTGAATTTTTTTTTATGTTTACCACTCAATTATTTCAAATTATCAATAAAAAACTTTGATAAATTTGGAATGAATACACTGAAGATGAATTTTTCCAGACAAAACGTCTGAATCTGGTTCGGTCTGAGGCAGTACAGTATTGGAGGTCATGAAGGCTTGTAAAAAGTGTAATAAAATTTCCAGGGTCGTATTCAAAAAAATGAAGTTGATGATGGTCTTGGAGAGACGAAACGTTACATATAAAAATTGATTATGCCATTCAGAGGGCAAAAAGTTGCCGTGAGGGTGTTTTTCTTTTTTCAATATCACCTCAAACAAGGCTGAAATGAAACAAAAACAGATTTCCAAAATTTCGTTTTTTTTTTCAAATATTTCGAAAACTAATCATGTTAGCCTTGATTTTTTAGAAGCATAATGTTAGTCCTCTGATTACACAACTTTGCCCCCATTTAAGCTATTTTATTTCGTATTTCTTACCATTTTCCAGATTCCTGTAGTGAGAAGCAAAATGTTGCGTTATTATACCCTTGTTAAAAAAATTCTAATACAATTTTTCAAAAATTGACACCAAAGAAAATTGTAATAGGCTTGGGATTTGTAACTTTCGGGGTTACAATTTTCAAGAATGTGCATATCAGCGTTGCCAGATGTCCCAATTTTGGTGGGACGTCCCGATTTTTAGCCCAAAATTAAACGTCCCGCACGGGACAGGCTCAGTCTCGCTTTTCGAACGTATTTTCATTAAAATATATTTTCTATGGCAACTTTGGCTATCTGTCGTCACGTAAACTTAATTTGAAACTTAAATAAAAGGATAAGTAGTTCAAAACTATTGATTTTATAGGTTTTTTTAGTATGTCCCGTTTTCGACGTAAGAATCCCGCTTTGCCCGAAAAAAATTAGCAACGCTGGTGCATACATAGAATTTATTAAAAAAATATATTTGAGTCGATATTTTTTACTTATTATGTCAATACTTCTATACCCCTATAAACCAGGACACATTTATGTCTTTGCTTTGAAACCATAATGATTAGCTGAAATAATAATTTCAAAAAAAATGCTTGAAAAAATTAAATTAATTTAAAAACTAAAACAAAATTCCAGTCAAACGCAAAAATAATATTGTTTGGTGGCTTTGGATATTTATTCGTATGTGATGTGCCTTGCCTGTCTGTTTTTTAACAATTATTTCATTTACAAGAGTTACACGACCCACATTTCAGTACACCGTCAAGACAATGTTACATTTTGGCTTTTGTTTTACAGAACGGCTTTAGGTGTGTTCGATTTTTTTAGGAGACTGCCTTTTATTTTTAATTTAAGTTGTAGATAAGTTTTACATGTTTCACGTTCAGGTCGTATTGGAATGCAACAGCACTTGTGTACCGTATAAAGAGCGATCCAGAAATGTAATACATGAAAGATTGAGACTGTTGTGTTGAAAATTAATTGCGATTTATTTTTATCATTAAATTTTCCAGAAAATAAACAGTTCGAATATAATTTTCTCTGGATCGCTCTTGTGTTAGCGCATTACCAGGTAAAGTAAAAGTCTGACGAAATCGTAATTCCTAGGTGGAACAAATCCAAGAAAACATAGTATCTCTGGAACTGACCAAACCCGACGACCTCAAACTAGACGTTTCCCTCAACGGTGACGACGCGACTTCGAGGCAGGACGAGGGGGAGGACGACGAGAGCGTCTCGGAACCCCCGACTCCCACCACCGACCAGGAGCGCACGCTCGACTCCTCCGACGCCACGACAAACAACAAGAAGAAACGACGGAAACGTTCGAAGAAGGGAAAACACTGACCGTTGCCATTTTAGCCGTACGGATATATTTTTTTAAATAAGCGACATCACATGATTGTTTCTCCAGGGTGGATGGGTTTTATATATTTTTAAACATAGTCTATAAATATGTTCTAAATTATTGTTATAATGTACAAAGTATTTAATTGTATTCTACATATTTTATGTATTTTTATTACATTCAACTAAGTGTATAATGTATAACTTTTTCCAAGGCTTTCGTTTTATGTAATCTGGCGCCATTTTTTTTTTAATTAATTTTAATACAATATGGTTATTGACGGTGGCTGCGCAGGTTTTTTATATAAGGACAATATGTACACTGAAGTGCTTTGGAAAAGAGACTTAAATTTTAATAAATAAATACGATAAGTTTCCTGCCACCTTTTCCTTCTAAACCCTCGTCACTTCTTCGGCGCTATGATTCCTTCCAATTGGGTCTAAAAAAAAATTTTAGTTATAAACAAAACAAATACAAAAACTTCTTGGTGCTCATCGGTAAGAATCGTCATATATGGGTGCCTCGCAAAAAGCATCGCAAGTCGTCATTTTTACCTGATTTTAAAAAACAAAAAATAACTATTGATGGCTCTAAAAATGTAAGAAACTGATATTAACTTACATTTTTTTTTCAACACCTACAACACTTTAAATGACGATGTTTTTTTTTTTCACTGGAACGATATATAGTGTTGAATGAGAGTCATATTTATACAGAGGCTACCTTTGATTTCTAGAAATATGTAAATTTTTCCCAAATTCCGTCGTAATCAATGAACTTCTTTTTTAACCTTTTCTTTTCACTAAAACCTTGTATTTAAGTAATGCAAAATGACTATAAAAAGTTTATTTGTAGTCCGATTGATGCCAAATTTTTTTTATAATAGACAACCACAATATATTTTTATCGATTTTTACACAATTTGTCTAAATATGAATTAATACACAAATAACAGACTTTCCTCCATTCTAACGCAGATTTTCTATAAAATGGAGTTAATTTGAAACTTAAATTACTTTTTGTTGTAAGGAAATTTGTAATTTGCCGCTTCTGAACAAGTGGCATCGTAAATTACAAATTTCTTTGCACCAAAAAGTAATTTGAGTTTCAAACTATGTCCATTTTATAGAAAATCTGCGTTAAAATAGGGGAAAGTCTGTTACTAGTGCAATAATTCATATTTAGACAAACTGTGTAATAAAATCTATAAAAATGTATTGCTGGTTGGCTATTTGCTGTAGAGCCCTCTCAAGATATTTTGATTAGATTTTTATAAAATTTGACCTCATAAAAAATTTAAAGTAGGCTTTGATACCAAAAAAAATTCAAATATCGTATGTGATTAGACTTACACTCCATCTTAAAAAAAAAACAAATCGGTCAGTAAATACTTTTTCACAAAGGTGTTTTTATTTGAAATGGGTCATATGTTACGGTAATCCCAGGAAACGGAAAGGTTGCAACTAAAATTGCCCGTCTAGGATTCACATCTGTTTGCAAAACAAAAATCCAGTAAGCCCTGGAATTATTATTTTTTTTTCGCTGTAAGAGGATCTTTCATGTGAGATCTGACAAAATGTCTTAAGAAACGTTTCTCGAGAAAAACTTATTGCCAAATTTCGATCTCTTGACACAAATAATAAAATTTAAAAACACGAGATTCTATAATTAGAAATCACAGCACACTTCCTACAAGAAACAAACTGGTTTTAATCCCAGAAGGTAATTTTTGACCAACTTCATTTGTCTCTTACAGCAGTTTTTTTATTTTATCTAAGGTCTCTAGATTGATGAAGTACCAATGTCACCCGCCATTTCGGGGCAAAATAACAATATTAATATAATTTAATATGGAGATATGTGGTTAAAAGAAAAACTTCCTAAATATCATTCAAGGCTTTATTATTTTATCGGAGCCAGCTTTTTTCTTATCGGTGAATATGTCAAATAATTTTGAGCAGTTCTTTTGACAATAATCCAAGATTAAATTTTGACAGACTTGATGTGAGTTAAATACGGAAATATTTGGTGGCCAAACTGCCATTTTGGGACAAAATTGGAAGAATGATTGGGATTTTTGGTCAATTTAAGGAATTTATGTGTTTATTTGCATGAGAGATTTGCATTAGTTTGTAATATTTTTTCAGCTGTTAGTGTCAATCTTTTGTTTTTTAAAATAACGGAGATGAATGAGGAGATTTTGGTAACAGTGATGTAACAATCTTTACCTTAAGCTGTTGGTTCGTCTTCTTCAAAAACGTTATTTCTTCCGTGTGCTTTCTTTCCTCGGCCAGTCGAGTCTCGGCCGCCCTTCTGTCGGCCTGTTCTGCCCTCTGCTTGAGGTCGGTGATCTGTTGTTCCAATTCCAACTTCTGATTTTTCAAAATCTCAACTTCCTGGTACAGGTCCGACCTGCCTTGCTCGGCCTGTAAGGCTTTCCTCATTCCTGGCGAAAAAAAAGTAATTTATTATAATTTATCAAATAATTTCATTTTACCAAAAGCAACACTGCTGCAGTATAACGCCTGGAACGCCTCGATGGTCATTTTCATTTCATCTCTCACCCTCAAAAGCAAAAGTCCCCTCTCCGCACAGTTAATGGTAACCTGTCGGATAATTTCATCGAAGCATTGCGTGTATAACTCGCGCCTCACGGGACAGATACCGGTTTCCCTTGCCTGAAATATGTAATTTGGAATTTGTTTTTGGAATCGATGGAAATACCTGTCTTTGTTGGAGTCTCATGTCCAACTGCTCCTGGAGGTTCACCACGTCCACCCTTGTGGCTGGCGTGGTGGACACTTGTTGCCTCCATATCTGGCCTTCCTCCTCCCATTCTCTGGGTGGTAAAATCGTATTTAAAATCTCTTCGGTTTCCCGCCTAGCATCGGCGGTCATGGTAGGTTTCCTCGATTCATCCTTGGTAAAAAATAAGTCAGTTTTAAAATTGAGTAATTTAATACAAATAACATTAAGTTTTGTTCAAAGTACCTCTGTACTTGTAAAGGAAGTATGAATAAAGTACTTACTCCCGATCTAATTTCATATTTCGTCACTAGTACAGGATTCTCGTACTTCACTAGGGTGTTCGGAGATGGTATAACTCTTTCGGCCATAATTAAAAACTTAAAATATATTTCTAAAATGTAAATAATGACATAAATGTCAAATCGACTGTTTGCTGCTATGGAAACACACAAGAAGTGGTATATTGAATTACTTCGTTTAAGAACATATAGAAAAGTGTTTAAATTTTGCTACAAGTAAGTATAATAATATGCATCTAATTATATAGATTAGTGTAAATTCATTAAATTCAGTTAAAATATTGAAGGTATAAATAAATGTGTTTGGACGTTTATCCTTAATTAACACTAGAATTTAGTTCTAAGATTTGATGACGTCATCATTTAAAATTAACATCTCGAAAAATGGCCTTTTCTGGAAAACTTATTTTAGCATTGGTAACACTGAGTCCCCTCCCATTTTTTGACATTCAGATTAGCCATTGGCAACCCTGCATGTCATATGATTTTGTAGTAGTTTGTCACGGGTTAGAATTATTGAGAGTTTTCACAAAATGTTGGAGTTATTGATCAGCCTTCTTTTTATATCGTCAGGTAAGAATTTTTCAGAGACATAGGAAACAGCAATTAGGAGAAATTTTTAACTCTATTATTTGCCTTTAGCGTATGGGGCTGGCGAGTTCTCTGTATTGCACAGCCCAGAAAGTCTTACATTCAAAGGCCACGATCACGTGAGGGAAAGCACCCTCAAGGAAGTGTATTCTGCAGCACTAGGCTTCTCAACAGAGCACTACTCCAACTGGCAGGGACTGTATATCGAAAATCCCTTTGACCTTCCCGAGGCAATTGTAACGGTAAGTGTGGACGGTGTAGCTGATATCGGACAACAAACTGGACATCACTACCCCCTTAGAACTGATGAGGAAGAAGTTGAAATATATCAGTCTTTGGAAAGGAGGATTTCTGAACGGTTCCCGGAACAGAACACCAATTTGGTTAGGATAGATCTTTCCAACGGTTTAGACGAGGTAAGTTGTTGTGAGTAATAAGCAAGTCTGAAATAACTTGCATTGATTTTAGGTGAAGAAGTATGCAATATTCGAGGAAATCAGGAGTGAAAACCCTAAGCACGTCAGTCACAAATCCTTAAAATTGGACGTTGATGAAGATCGGCAGTTTTTGAAGGAAATAACTTTGCTTCGTGAGATCACACGAAAGGTGCGTTTTAAATATTTACATAGCTCGATAAAGTTTTGTTTTTATTCTTTATTACCATAGATTGAGCAAGGTGTTGTCAAGCAAGACCATGTACCCGACGTCTTCTGGTTTAGGGTGTCGGCACTCCACCCTCTTTCTGACTTGCATGGAGAGAATTCTACGGAAACTACCGAAGCCAAGCAATTGCTGAATGAGGCCATTCTCAGATTGAAGGATGCTTTTGTGAAAGCATATGATGACAAAGCCCTTGTAAATGTCATTACCAGCGATGCCAGTCATACCAGAAGGACTAGGAGCATCTTACAAATTAGTGCTAAGGCAGACGAAGAGACTGATGTAAGTACAAAAATTTTAAAAAAAATTAGAGCAATTTAATTTTCCAAATCAAATGTACGGCTTTTAATTTCAATAAAAATATGTTTGGTTTCATGGTTTTAAAGCAATTCTTCAAAAATTCCTTGTTTTGAGCTCAACTAGGTACGAAATTGCTGTGGTTTTTAATCAGTTTTGGCATGGAAACCGGTACGGCGACCCAAGTTATAAACAGTTTACTTTAAAGTTCCCATCGACCGAAACCCAAATAATTGTGATTTTTCTCTGGGTTGATAGAATAGAAAAACTTTGACCAATGAAAACTATAAACTTTGAACTTATATTGCAGAAGGTAAAATACAACTTAGCCAGCTACTACAGCAAAGACTACCCCGTAATCTTCAACATTATCCTCTGGTTCGGCATCGCCATGTTGTTCTCGCTCATCGCCATTTGTCTAGCCATCGGGAACATGGACCCAGGCAGAGACTCCATAATCTACCGTATGACAAGCACCAGAATGAAGAAAGACAATTAAATTCTTCAACGGATAGTAAATGTCCCAAGTTTCGATGTAAAAACTATAAAAAAGAACATCATTTCGTGTAATTTGTCTAATTTGCCACCCACCATATTTACACCGTACAGATTTTCCTTGTACGACCAACACTTGAAGTATTTTAGTAGTTTATAGGATGTACATATCGCTTCGTCGGAAGTATTGTTTTCGTTGTAAATTCTTATTAAGTGTAATTTATTGTAGGTGTTGGTTTACGTAGCGTATAAATATTACATTCCCTGTGATGACACAATAAATAATTAAAGTACATGTTTTTTTTTTTATTGTATTACAGAAAATGGTTGAGACAAAACAGCGTTTAAATATTTTCATGGGTTTTCTCAAAAAGCTTTAGGAAAAATCTGGAAAAATTCGGGTAGATTATAACGGTGCTAACCAAGCCAAAACTGCATTCTCCAACTGAACCAGTTTTCCAGATCTTCGATTGTTTTTCTCGACGGAAGCACTTGCACAAAAATCGATTTTCATAGCGTGTTTAATGACCCCAGATACATACGTAACCGCCTTTAGATGAATACTTTTAATTTTTTTTAATTTTCATGCTATTAGAAATACTTTATTTATACTTACTAAACGAAAAATTGCTTGGGCAATTTTTCGTTTAGTGAAGTGGAACGCTCACTGGTGTCGATTGACCAATGAAGCTGCATTAAATAGTTCAAAATTTTCATTCCGTCGTCTAATGGCCAGAAACTGCACTAAACTGGTGCAAAGTTGGTGCTGGATGTCCTACCAACAGCCCATATTTAAATCCATTCAAATTCTATGTAAGGAGCATGTAGGCCAACTAATAGAGCAAAAATAGAGGCTCTAGCAAATTTCCTTTTGAAAAATGCTTAGTAAATAAAAACCCAAGTGATTTCCCCAGCAGTAATGAACATTTTTTTTAAATTATAAAAACTGCAAAATCGACATTTTTTTTTTATAATACCTCGAAAAATAATGATAGAATCGTCTTACTCTCATTAGGACTTTTGTAGAGAATAAAAAAACCGATAAAATGTTTTTTTGTGAGTCCCGATTGATATTTTACAGAGAAAATCCAGAAAACACTCTAAAGACCTTTTTTTAAAAAATTCATAACTGTCAAATATGAAGCTGGAAAAGCAATCTTGCGGAAAATGACAGCCCGCTTCCCCCCCCCCCAATACCGCTACAACGACTGGTTCGAGTATATTTTCAATCGGTTCGGGCGACTTTCAAGGACATTTTTAGCATATTTCCCATCACCCAGGCGAAAATCCGAGCTATACAAATTGGAAATTTTGTCATCTACTTTCAGATGCCGTTTTCAGAACTTAAATCAAACCATTTTTGATAAATCGCCACTCTATGCAAAAAAAGATCCTATTTGTTTATAATGCAATTGTGAAAGATTAATAATTTTTCCAGCTTCAAATTTGATAGTTATGAATTTTTGAAAAAAGGTCTATTTTAAAGGTTTTTTTTGGATTTTCTCTGAAAAAAATGAACCGATCAGATCGCACAAAAAACCATTTCATAGATTTTATTCTCTACAAAAGTCCTATTAGCTCAGTATATGACGGTTTTTAGGTCAGAATTCTTGACACATGCACCAATTGACGTGAAATTTTAACAGTAAGTAGAAAATTGCTCAAGAAACAAAAGTTACATAGTGTCAATGCGTGCTTTCACCCTGGGTGTGAATGCCACCCCTTCTCGGGGGTGGCAATGAAGGCACCCATTTTAATCGCAAAATCAATAGAGGGATGAATTCTAAGCAAAACTAACGTTTTTTCCAAAAATTAATATTTTTCGAGTTATTTGCGATTGAAAATGTTGATTTTTCATCTAAAAAGTGCATGTTTTTAACCATTTTTGATAAATAACTCGAAAACCTTGCGTTTTATCGAAAAACCCATATAAAGCAAAAATAAAGCTTTTGAAATAACGAATCGATTCATTCTTTGTTGATTTACCGTAGATGTAATAATAACCGAGTTATCACTCTCTAAAAGTGATTGTTTATTTTTCAGAAAGTAAAATTGAACCTTTTACCATAAAATAATGGTGAAAGAACTAATTTTTCGAAGAAAATGAATATAACCTCTTTTAAAGTGCTTGGATAGACCTTTAAAATACTTTTTGAAAAAAATTCGTTGCTTAAAAACTCGCGGACTTGTGATGAAAATAAAATGGTCATCTCATATTTTGGGAGAAAAAATCAACAATAAAATCTATGGCTGAACCATAAAAATAGAAACTAAGCGTAATCCATGTACAGTTGACTTTATTTAGGTACTAATAATAGGCCCTGCAAGTTTGACCAGTTAAATTTAAAAAAGTTTTAAATAATGAAAAAATTTCCTTTTTTTCGAAATAACAAAAACTAAACAAGATACGTGAAAATACAAGAGTTCAAAATTAAAGGTCTTTTTTTTTATAATATTTTTGCTCTTTCAATTTTTCTGTAAAGCAAAAATTAACTGAGATATTACGTTTTTTAGTTTACATTTGTGTGCAAGGACCACCTTTGAGCCCTTAAAACCTAAAAATTTCGAAAACGAAAAGTTCAAGACCCTTCAACTATAAAGGTTGATTTGTAGCTCTTGCAATTCCCTGCAAATTGCTTTTTGGAGCGATGAAGAATATTAAAAATTAATAGTTATCGTGAAAAAACGAATTGTACTGTTCAGTGAAAATTATCTTATCCTGTAAATGTTTACATTTGTTCTGGAGCACTTGTGGTTCGAGTCCTTCGTTAAGGCTACTAACAAGAAAACGGCTGTGAATCTGTCATCTCTTGTCACCACAGTTGATGCTCTGGACCAACACATTAAGAGAGTTTTTTTACAAACTCAGGTGTGGCTTGGTAATGATAGCATTAATCCAACTGATTGGGGATGGATTAAAAATGAAAATTCTCTCCAGCCTATCAAAATGTTCAACCAGCCTGCACCCGAAGAACTTTTAAAAATGATATTTTGCAATTGCAAAAAAGGATGCGGTGCGACTTGCAGTTGCCACAAATTTGGACATTATTGTAATGCGACATGCGGAACATGTTCTGGGAACAGTTGCCAAAATTGTCCTCCACGGACCAAACAGAGGAAGTCGACAGTGATGATAGTTCTTTAGATATGTAAATTTTTGATAAAGTATAATTGTATAATACACAAATAATTTTTATTTTTCCTTTCACTAATGACGTTGCAATGAATCATCAGTAATATTATAAACAGTGACGAGTCTTTCATTCATTATAAATGCTATGAAGATGTGAAAAATTTGTTTGCTTTATTTTCTGCAATAAGGGTGGTTTTTAAGGGTTGAAATGTTGCAATAAATCATGTATTATTTCATAAACAGTAAAAAATATTCAATTCTTCGCTATCGCTCCGTCAAAACATTTCAGAGTCGCGAAAACTAATTTTTTTTTTTTACATAAAGGGTTGAAATGTTGCTACAAATAAAAAATTATTATTCAAATCAAAACATAAAAGAATGCTTATTCTATTGACATTACACTTAAATCTATGGTTTTTACGTTTTTTGCAAGAAGGGGTAGTTTTCAACCCCCTAAAAACAATAAGCACACATTAAGGATATGTAACTTTTGTAAAAGAGGGTGAAATGAGTTTACTCACCAATTTTCATGAAAATCGGTGCGTGTGTCAAGAATTCGGAGGTAATACCCTATTTTTACCGTTGTATACTGGACTATATTGTGAGTAAGATGATTCCATCATTATTTTTCGAGATCTGTATTATAAAAAAGCCAAAAATGACATTTTTTTGTAGTTTTTTTTGTTTAAAAAAATTGTTTACGACTGCTGGGGAAATCACTTTGGTTTTTATTTACCAAGTACTTTTCAAATGGTAATACATGAAATTTGCTGTAATATTTAACTGTGCCAAAAAATTTCTATTGGTTGGCCTAATGGTTGAAAGGGTCACAAAGTCCAGAGATCCAAACGTCGTGTCATTGAAAGCCACTATTAAAGTGACAATCGCCGATATGAACCATGCTGTAAAGCGGGCCCGTAAACTTTTCAGACTGAGATTGGAGATGGTCATTCAAACATGTGGGGGATATATTGAGTGTTCCGTATAACCCTACAAACAATTTTGTCAAAAAATGTAAAAATTCCCAAAGTATGTGATCACTCACCAACGAGCAAAAAAAAAATAACTATGACATTTTCTATTTGTTTACACTCGTTTACGAATATTTTATGGAAACAGCATGACATTGGATCAAATAATTTATTAATATACATTAATATTTATTAAATCACATAATGATTAGAATATTTTTGCTAATTATTTGTTGTAGTTATATAAAAAAAAATTAAAATTCACATAAACATCAGAATGAGGAATACAATTGATCGAACAAACTCACAAGATATAACGATGTTCATTACAAATTCACGCAAAAAATAAAAAGGAAAAAAATTAGTTATTTTAAAATAAATAACGAGGACTTGCATACAAATTTTGAGTTCACATTTCTATTTTAAACTACGACAATCGTCAATTCTGCTGCTTACGATACAATTAAAAAACACTGAATTATAAATACACTAAAATAGAATTAAGGCACTGTTCTACCACAATATTTACTGCGATTATTATCATCGTGGCTCTCTTAACTACTCCCTAAAGCATTTTATATAGATATTACTTCGTTTCCTTGAAGAAACTAAAACTTATAAAACTTAATGATTGTACTACACACAATTCTTTAAACCTCGCCGTGACGGTAAGGTTTACATAAGGAGATAAATCAACGAGAAGGAAACTATACGGGTAAGTAAAGTACGATATATAAGCTAAATTTAAAGTTGAGACCTATGAAACCTCACCGAACCTCGTAGGTTCGGGTTATCTCGGTATCGCGAAAGGAATTTCTGCCGTCTTGGGTTCATATTTTATCGTAAAACGATCGGAGTGGAGAAAGTATTAAGTTATTCTATTATTACTAGGGCTTATGTTACAGGCGAGTACAAAGTGTAAAATTATATACATCTTTCAAAAGTTTGTCTAATTAGCTCTTTCTATGTGCAGAAGGTGAACTAAAGGCCTGGTCAAACTTTAATGAACAAAAAAAAATATCGTATATACGAAATTGATCGAGTGGTACTCACTTTGGTTCGTATTTATGAAAAATAATCAAGATTGTTAAACATCTAAAAACCACACACTGAAACTAAAAGTGAGGTTATGTAATAAAAATATCCAGTATGGCAGCTGTAAGGGTCGATTTCTTCTGTGCATGTGATTTTCCACGGCTTTTACAATCATAATCTCCAGTTGAACAAGACCGTTTCATTAAATGACGTTATAATTATTTATTTGCCACATTTTAAGCAATTTTTTTCATTTAATTAGTGTAAAAGGGAAATCGCAAAGAATATTTTATTACTCTTCCCTCACAAAGTAGGTCAGGGAAACGTTTAATGCAGTTATGAAAAGCTTGGTCTGAACACCAAATGTTGAAATTTTTTTAGACCGTCTAAATGAAATGCGAGCTTTGGTCTAATATTTTAATAACTATTCCTCGTTAAAAAAAAATTTGATGTTTTGAATGAAAATGTATTTTCAGGATAAGTTTGCAGGATTTTTTTCCGATAATAATTTGTTACGTAGAATCCATCATCAAAGTTTATCCAAGTAATTTAGTTGCGCCCTATAAAAAAAGCAAGCGAATGTCTTTCTAGCGAGTGGAGCAAAAATGAAGTTCCGATAAAGCAAAATGGAAAACTTTAACACCATAAATAGAGGCATTTTCTATCCTTTTCCTCCAAAATTGTGTTTCTTGCCCCACTGATATTACATCGAATTAAAAAATTAGTCTACGACGAATAAACATGAATGATCTATAAAAATATTTATCTAGTGGAAGCTAAAATATTAAGAAAGCAAGCGATTAAAAAGTACTAACATCTAATTTTAGAATCAATAAAGGCAGTGATATTTTAAACATATAGTCTGTTTCAGAGAAATAAGATACAAATCACCAAAGAAAATACATAGAAACTATTTTATTACGCTTAATATTTAATTTGGCGACGAATTTATCGCTACGAAGCGGTACCAAAACTTTTAACTTCTATACTTCTTGTTACCTGAAACGAACTATAGTACGAGGAAAAAATCTAAAGTAAAAAAAGTGGTCGGGACATCATTAAAGAACATCTGCGTCTCCGTCGGCCCTAAAACCCACACTAATTTAGGAAGACACGGGTGTACCGGCCTTTTTGGGTGTGGCCTCGTGCTGGCGCCTCAGACGTCTGCGGAACTCGCCAGGGAACTTCTCGTAGCACTTCTTGCAGACCGGTTTCAGATCGCACTCGTAAAACTTGGTCTTCTGGTTCATTTTCTGGTCGCAGATCGAACAGGCGAAATGATGAACGCACCAAGCCTTGTTCAAGGCGGTAAACACTGAATGGGAGAAATAATTGATAAAAACATTCGTAGTGGGAACAAACAAAAGCTGTTTGTTTTCACTGCCACTAACGAACAAAATGCAGTCAGGAACAACAAATGCTCCTGTGAAGAGAAAAATGGGAGCGTTTTTTCCGAGAACAATGTCGAGGTTATGGCATTTTTCCAAAAAAAAATAAAATTTATCAATAAATATTACAAAAATAATGAAGTTTTGAAAAAAATTCACTTAATAGGCTCAATTTTTGAATCTCCAATTTAAAAATTTTAAAAAATCTATTTCGATACGTATTACTTCAATACAAGGCACAAATTATAATAACAACTTACCGTCGCCAGAAATGACCTGGTTGCAAACGAAACAAAGATTCCCGAACAATTGGTGGTAATGCGTCTCGCAGTAGGCCAAGCCTTTCTTCTCGTAATGGCGGTGTCCGAAGAACGGTTTCTCGCATTTGGCACAAGCAAAATGCTACAAAACTCAGTAAATCAATACCAAACAACCTAACTATACCCCGTTTACAATTTTTACCTCAACATGCCAGTGTTTACCGAGAGCCGTAACCACCCTCTCCTCGATGGGTCGACGGCAAGCCCCGCAGATGGGTATTCCCATCTTGTCGTGGCAACGCAGACAGTACAACTCGTTCATGTCGTTCTTGGCGTAGCCGGAGCGGTTCCTGACCTCCCTAGCATTGCTGTCGAGTTCGACGCCGCAAGCGGTGCAGTTGAAATGGTAAGGGTGGTACACCTCGCCGCGGAACTTCAATGGCTGGTCATCGATCATCGCACTAAGGACAAGTTGTAACTCTGTAGTAATAGGTAACCAAATAGGTTTATCATGTGCTACGTCTTTGTTGTAGTGTGCCACTACGTTTTAGATACTGGTAGTGCTATTCCTTATTCCCAATAAGGACCGCAACAAAAATTGTTGGCAACAAGCACAAGAAGAATTATCAATCACACAAAAAAACCGCAATAATTTTATCAACAAATTCTAGTTAAAGTCGAGGTTTCTCTTGCAACAGAATTATTAATTTTCTTAATACTTATCGTAGACCAATTATTTTTTTTAATTGAACAAAAAAGCCACTTTACAAATATTATTATTGATAATTAGTACTTACTGGCACTTGTGACAAACGTATTTCCCCAATCCTCTCGCTTTCACCTTGGCATTGCACTCGTGGCAAAGTGCTCTCCCTCCATTCTTAATAAAACCCGTGTCTGCCAATTCCACACTGCACTCCTCACATCGGAAACAGCGTGGGTGCCAGCTGGCGTTCATCGCTTTGATGACACGTCCGATGATGAACTCGCCACATTTGTTGCAGCAAGGGGCGAAGAGCACATGGAAGTCGTGCTCGCAGTATTTACGACCGTCAAATTCGTAGAATACCCCATCACGGAACTGACGGAAGCACTGGGCGCAACTGAAATAAATAAAAATACGATTCATTTGGCTGAAGGGCCATTTGGTTTATCTAATACATATGTTATTATTTGATTATTTATATATATTTTTTTAAATGTTTCATATCACGTGTTTGGTGCCTCAATGAAAGTATAAAAAATCTTGAACAAGTTCAAGGCACATCAAAATTTCTTATAGAAATTCTCGAAATAAATAACACTTACACAAAACATTGTTGATGCCATAACTGACCAGTGGAATTGACGATTTTCTCCTGAGGCTCAAATCCTTCTCCACACTTCGAACAAATCATATTGTCACGAGACATGTTGGCAGTCAAACTGTAAAAAAATTTGTCAAATAAGCAGACGGTCCTTGCTACGAGCTTTTCGCCGATTAGTGATTATTACAACACCGAAATGAATGGATAGCCCAGTTATACAATTGTAGTTCTAATGATTAGAGCTCTACGTGTACCTTGTGATTGTAGTTATAGAAAATAACTCTAACGGAGGCTTCTTAACGGGGCTCAATTGCAGAGGCACGTTATCATACTCGTCATACTTATAATAAGACATATTTAGCTCCTCCTTGGACTGTGCACGTCTTTGGAGCAGAGTGCTCTGGGTGATTTTCCCGATTTCTGGAATTACGGGAGACTTATCTTTAAGTCCACGCATATTCATGGTTTAAACCTTTACCTAACTGAACACAGCAATTTCAACTATGACTCGTGCTTATTATTTGTTTGGCGACACAGTGAAATATGTATAAATAATCTCATAAAACTAAATAGTCGTATGACTGGGAATAGAATTACTCAGATCGTACTTATCAATAAAGCAAACACCTTTATCACTGTTATCTCCATGTATTGAGATCACAGTACCTGAAGCAAACTGGGTGTGTTACTATTATTACATTGTTAAATGGTTATTAGCTAGGGTAGTCTAGTGTAAACGTTTTAGTGAATACTGTAAACAGATGTTTAATCATTCGTTGTTTATGTACCTCCCAATAGTTTGGTATGTTTTTCGCAGTTTTGGCCATTTTTACTGCCAAAATGAATTCAGTTTACATAAATATTGTGTATATTAATAAGTTTTATGTGTCAACTGAATCACTTACAGGGTGAATAGTAAAAAAGTACATATAACAAATAAATGAATCAAATCAGTTAATATCCACATTTTAAGATTATCTAGTTTGACAAAAAAATTTACAAAATTCCTCAATTATAATATTAAATCATTCTTTATAACGATTAAGTTTCTTTGCATTTTTTTTTACAAAAAGAAATACGGTAGACATTAATTTAAAAAAAAATAAAATCAATCAAAAGTACCTGCATATTTCGAGTCATTTTTTTGTTAAAGTCTTCTGGCATTGTAACTTCAGATTAAATAACTTCAACATGAAGTACAAAACTGATTGATTTATTAATATTCTAAAATTAACCCACATCCCAACTTCCTCTTCCTGAAGATAACGTGATTAAACATTAAATAATTTGTATAAAATTAATCTAATTATCATAACTTGTATTTTAGTGTAACAATATTTTTCATAGCAGCAGATTTAAATGGGTTTTCCAGCAAAGTCTACAAGTAAAAAGAAGACGAATAAAAACGAGCTTATCGATATATTATAGAACTGGTAGAAGCTATTCCACCTAGACTATGATGTTCTACAAAGTTAATATGAAGTAATAATTAGCAAATAATAAGGGCATTTAAAGAAGGCCAGTGTGAGTTACAGAAAGAATATAAGGGACCTAGAATATAAGCTACGATTAACTGTAAGCATGACAGTGAACGATACCATGATACGAATATAGCAGTTTCATGCTTACCCTGGCATAGGTGTCGGCGACATTTTAAAGATTCCTCGTACCAAAAAGAAAAGTAAAGTAGGAAACTGAAAACAAATAATTCCGCCATTTACTGTGGAATTTCTGCACTGGCTTTTTTCTCCAAGTTGAGAATGCTTAACACTTAATCTGAAGGCATATATGACTTTTTGAGAATACTCACCCGATTCCCGTGGGAAAAATACACAAATATGGTAAAGCAATTAATAATTAGGAAATGTTAACACACCCATATATTTTACTGGTCACTTGTCATTTTCCTGTAACCTCATCTTATGTTCTTTCGCTGCACTGGGAGCTTTGTTTCTTTTTAACACAAGGTAGAAGATGAGGAAAAGAATACCTTTTAAGTGATCTAACCGATCTGACCTATTTAAAAAATGAATTTTGTTTTCAAAACAAGTTGTCCGACAACCAATAGCAGCCAATATGCCCATTTAAAGAACAAGAAACGGATGTGCAATTTTGCAAGAGCGGTACTTTTAAGATATGTGCTGGTTTATATCCTTTTAATGCATACAAGAATGCAACATTGCAAACACGCTGAATAAAATTTAAAAAAAGGACATGCTGGGCTGCAAATAATCGACTTTCTTTTTTAAATATACCAGTGCGTCCATAAGCATACGTGAGATGCCAAGAATACATCAATATTATTTATTACAAAAAATTGGTTATATAAAAAACTAATACATTTACACAAATATTAATAGAGACATTATTAATAGATAGTACATGGGCGTTCTTTGGGGAGGGCTTTTGCATATCAAATCAGAAAGTTTTATTGTTTTTTATTAGTTTTTACTGCTTTTGAATATCCTTGCACCTTTAGCAAGTTGGTCAAATCGGAAAATTTTTATTAATTTTTGTAATATACTTTACATTTACCTTTGCCTATTAAAGTTTTCTTCCTAACAAGTTTTTCTGCAAACGTTCTTTAATATCAATATAAAAAATAATTTTATTTGTATTACAAATGTTACAAAATACATATTTGAACAAATTTCAGTATCGCTGATTTTAAGATTGTAAATTAAAAAAAAAAGGAATGAATCGTAGGTAGTGTTAATTATTATTAGATTTGCATCACGGCAATATAAATATGTGACGATCTATTACATTATGACATCAGAATTTTAAACTGGTTTACGATGCAATTTCGTAAAAAATTGCTTAAGCTTAAATAACGTTTCGGTTTTTAATTACTTTTATCCAATGAGATTTCGGTTAAACGGAGCAGATTCCACATCACAACATAGGTTATGTCAAAGACGTCACAATTTATAAAGGCAAAATCCACATAATTCTATGTAATCATTTTCTTAAGAAGTTAACACCGATATGTCCTTAGTTATTCTCTGAAACTAGTCGAAATTTGTAAGGAAGAGGTTGTTAGAAATAGGATAACGACAATGGTTTATAGGTGTTGGGTATTTATTTTATTATTAGGCTTGATAAAACGGTACTCGGCTACCGAATTAACTTTCGAACTACCCGACAGTGCCAAAGAATGTTTCTATGAGGAAGTTAAGAAAAACACGAGCTGTACCTTAGAATTTCAAGTGAGTTCATTTTAATTGAATATTCAACAGATTTATAACTATCTTTTGGTGTTCAGGTGGTGACGGGTGGCCAGTACGATGTAGACATATCCTTAGAAGATCCCAAGGGCCAGGTGTTATATAAACAAGTCAAAATGCAGTTCGACTCGCACACCTTCGTTGCCCAAACGACGGGTATATATAAGGTTTGCTTTAGTAACCAATTCTCTACATTCTCGCACAAACTTGTCTATATGGATTTCCAAGTTGGGGATGAGATGCCACTGCCTGGAATGGGAGAACACGCAACCGTAATGACACAGGTAAGCGCCTCGATTTGAGTATGTACCACTTAATAACATCTCGTTTGGTTTCAAGTTGGAGGCATCAGCGCAGGATATTCACAAATCACTCAACACAATCCTAGACTACCAGACGCATCACCGTCTTAGGGAAGCGCAAGGAAGGAAGCGTGCCGAGGACCTTAACGAAAGAGTGTTGTGGTGGTCGATAATGGAGACTTTAGCAGTTATAATGATCGGCATCGGCCAAGTGTTTGTCCTCAAGAACTTTTTTACTGAGAAAAAACCGTTCGGTTACACACAAATGAAATAAGTCTGTACATATTTAATTTAATTATTTTTGTGACTCGTGGAACTTTTCAAAATTTGTGACTGTAAGGGGTTTGTTTAAACGGGTGTCCTCATTCCACTTATTTGTTGTTTTTTTAGTTGTAAATTTTTGAGTTTGTATAATTACAATTATTTGATTGTTTTCATATAAGTGGGCAATTGTAGTTTAGTACAATTGTGATGTAAAAGAACGTCTGGATTAAAATATTTTTTAATGGAAAACTGCACGTTTTGGCATTATTTTTCATATGACCTCTAGTCTGCATCGAGCAGAAATTGGAAACGCATACCTTTGTTTTGAATAATTGATAATTAAACTGACGTTTTATCAATTATAATTTTTAGCAACCAATAGTATCGACACCTTTTCTTTCAATTGTAAATACATAATGTTTAGTTCTTATTAAATACAGAAAACATAAATTTATTAAAGAGGGACTTTTTATTTCGACTGCCAATGATTGGGAATCCCCAAAACAGAAAAATTAGTTTCTTAAGATACAATTCTATAGTTAGAACAACTAGTTTCCGTAGCAGCTTAATTATTAGTAAATTATATTTTGAAATTTATTAATTACTGGGCGTGATTTTATTGTTGGAAAGTCTTGGGAATGATAATACAAGCGGCGTCTCATCTTCCATTTATTTATCCCATTTTTGCAAAAAAGGCCCAAATTTAATTTTTTTTAACTAGAAGATACTTGGTGTTCCTTCGAAGAAAATGAGCCCAAAAAGAATGTTTTAGTCACAACCCTGCCCCCGGAATAGTCATTTGAAAATGGGCCTTTTTTTGCAAAAATGGGATAAATGGAATTTTGCAAAAAGTATTTGAGCGATTGATCTTTTGCACATCTCTTAAGGAAATAAAAACTCACATTTTGGGAAAGTTTGGTAAGATTTTATCAATTACTTAAAAAGTTATTAACAATTAAAGAAAAAGCACTTTTTCCGTTTAATTTTGCAATAATTTTTTTGTTTATAAAGCAATTTTAACTTATAATATCTCATTTTAAAGATGAGCTTCTCTAGATCATATCGTCTGTTGTATTTTTTTGCTAAGATTAATATTTTTTTACAATAACACATAGAACAAAAAATGACGAATTTTTGACCTATTTGTTGATAAAAAACAATGACGCTATACTTTTTTCATGACCCACGAGATGAGACGCCTCTTGTATTATCATTCCCAAGACTCCAACAATAAAATCACGCCCAGTAATTTTCACGATTTCTCGGTGATTTTTCACATTTATTTCTTGGTCTATAAAATAAATTCATTTAAAGGAAAGACTGTCTCATATTAAAAAACAACAATATTTAATTCGTCAATGTCAGACATATAAGATGTGCTTGTAATGTATATACATATAAATTTCCAAGATAGCAATTAAACGTCTTACCCTAATATGGAAATAAGGTCTCAAAATTCTATTTATATTAATGTGGTTTGTTTTAAGATGAAAACCTTGGGGGAAATTGACAATATATTTCTAAGAAATCATCAGATAAGCATGTATTGCTTACAAATGCAATTTGTAAGCAAAAAGTTTTAGTAAACTTCAGAAAGAAAATATTTTGGAATGGGAGCTATAATGTTTTGGTAATGTTCCATGTGACCTTTGTTCCAAAACAAAAATACAAAGTTATATTAAGAAATGAATTCATTGCAATGACGAGTATTAAAACTGGTTTTACCCATCATTTAAAATCCTTTGATTGTTAACTGATTATGCTAATGTTCCTTCATAAATAGTTATGTGTTTATTGCAATGAAATAAATCTATTTTATGATGAAAATGGCTCTATCACACTTTTGGACATTTTTTTAATTTCATCTTAAACTTGAATTATACTTTTAGGTGACAACGGTTTATTTTTGGATATACAGAGTGTCCCTGAATAAGTACCTAAATCTTAACCACTTATTCAAAGCAACATCTTTAATAAGATAGTATTATTTTTTATTTGGAAAATTTGTTACTTTGGAAAATTAATTCCATTAACGATTTTTAAAGATACAACTAAAAGCTTGCTACAAAATATTTTAAGAAATTTAAATCAATTAAATAATGACATTTAACATACAAAAATTTACAAAAATCTTTTAACTTTAATTTATTTTTAAAAAATCCATAAAGCTATATAATTCACTAGATAACTCAAAATGTACTTTATAATCACTGGTCCGTCATTATGACAGTTCTGACATGTAAAATGTTAGTTATCATTTTACTAAATCTATTAAATTCAGTACTTGCAATTAATTACTGCACATTGTGCAAAGATGAAACACACACTATGTGTCAATATGAGGTAAATGGGTCGTGTTCGGTATTTCCTAAATACAACTTTTTATAAAGACCTACTATTGTTGCCTAGGAAGGTCCCTCAGAGAGGTGTATAAACTATACCAAAATATCATTAACACCTGCTGAGAAGATGTATATTTTGGACATCCACAACGACATACGTAACCATGTGGCTTCCGGCCAAGAGTCTAGAGGAGCCCTAGGAAATCAACCCCCAGCAGCTGATATGTTTTTACTGGTACAGCCTTTCACCTATTTAGGGATATATCAAATATTTGTAGCGTTGATGTTTTCACAGTGTGTTTAATATCTTCTGTTTGCTTCCATAATTAACAGTAGCATTTAGTGCACGTGTAAAAAGTGACATTTACAAAAAAACCATCAATATTAAAAATTATCTATCAGTTAAAAAGCTCGCGTTAACAAAATATTATTTTGTAGTTCTTATAAAGCGTTCTTGTAATTTTGCAGGAATGGGACGAAGAGCTTGAGGCAATAGCTCAAAGGTGGGCTGACCAATGTATTAGTGCAAATGCTATTGTACAACATGATAAATGCAGGCGAACAGGTAAAAAACAAGTAATACTTGTACGTTTCTCTTCTACAGGAAACGACAGGCAATCTTTTGGATTCGAGTAGGACATGCAAAAATAACGTCAGTTTATACATTTCTTTTATTCGGGCTCACCCTGTATAATTATTAGCTCTTAAACTTGGGAATTGAGAAGCAAAATAAGTGGATATTATCAAACGCCACTTGATATGATGCATTTATTTTGCTAGATAAAGAATGAATTGTTTTCAGATATTTTTACTAATGAGATATAGCGAAAATAGTATGGTATCTTTATCGTTAAACTTTATTATCTCAAAAATGATCGACATCAAACAAGTAGATATACTTTGTTCACATAAAAAAGTATGAAAATCTTAATAATAGTACTTTTTCGGGGATCAAGACTGCCAACAGCTCTTTCTTTGCCCTCATGTTGCCGAAACAGCTATTGGTAAATTAAACACATTAGTAGATCTAGCCTCAAATAACAGTTTTTACTCAAAAATTATCCAAATTTATTGAGAAACAAAAGAACTTAATATCGATTTTGAACTCTCAAATCTATACGGTGAATCCAACCAGAAAAAATATATTTAAACTTGCAACACTGAATAAATTGTATTCTTTTATTAGAAAATTTTGAAGTTGGCCAAAATGTTGTGACGGCCATCTCGCCTGATGTGCAACTACCAGAGCTTTCTGTACTAATATTGAACTGGTATAAACAAATCACGTCGATCATACCATCAGACGTCGATGAATTTACTGGGTGAGAATTTTTTTTTCACTCTAAAATCTTTTGTTTCACTTTCGTCACTGTTTAGGATATGGAGAGGCAAGCACCAGGTTGGCCAGTATACTCAACTAGTCTGGGCAAAGACTAGGCTTGTCGGTTGCGCCGTAGCGGCATTTAAGGAAACTGTCGGCGACGCACAGTATATTATTCGTTTTGTTTGCAACTATGGTCCTGCGGGCAACGTTGTCGGTCAGTCGGTTTATCAAAGGGGAAAGCCGTGCTCCAGGTGCCCCTATAGGACATGCGACGAGATGCGTCCCAATTTATGTGGAGGTAATTTCAAATTTTTAAGTTTTTTAGACTTTAACGAAATTTGGGCATACAGAGGTAATTAAAAAGTTGAACAGAAAGTAGTGACAGTTAAATACAATTTTTATTCTGTGATTTTTAGTGTGTGTTTCTTAAAACAATGTCTATTAAATGACTTGGTTTGTATAAAACTGTATTATAGCACTGTAATATGCCTTTTCCATTTTAGGAATACACAAAAATGTAAATATTAGGAAACCAGATACCATATTCCAAAAATATAAGGACAAAGCTACCACATTATCAAATTTGATAGATATTGAGGATCCGAAGATTAATACGAGGTTTTTTAACTTCAGTATATTAAACGCACCAAAAATAATAGAAAGTCATTCAGATACAGTGGGAAATACAACTCAATTCATTAATTTTATGTCTGTCGAGATGGAAAAAGACTTAGTTACAAATATCAGTAACGTTACTTTAGAAAATACAACAACAATGAAAGACGTTGTCAACTTTACAGACACTTATCTGACAAATACATCAATTTTCACTACTCATGAAGAAAATTTTAGTGACTTTACTTATTCATCTACTTTGAACAATGAAGACTACTTAAATATATCTCGTTCCCCACAGACTTTGGCAAACCGTACCTATATGATCCTTATAAAATTGATAAATTCAAATGATTTAAATAAATCTACCCTTTTCGATACTTTAACTGATGTCTCTATTTATAGAGACTCGTACAATGTAAGCAATCCGGTATTTAATACAACTTTATCAACTCAATGGAGCGAAGAATACAAAAGGAACCTTAAATTTAGACTAACGTTTGACGCTACTATTGAACTTATCATGGGCAGTTTATTTAATACAAGTACTATTCCTGAGACAAAAAAACAGTCAAAAACAGACCTTACCAAAAACAGATGTGAAAGAATTAAACTAAACAACGGCATTATTTTGGTGCAGGATTGTGAAGGCGATTCAAGAGATGTAGTAAATCCTGTGAAGAAATTTTCTAGTCCCTGTTTGTATACCAATAAATAAATTTTACTGTTTTGAAATATTTATTTTTAGTGCACGCAAGGAAGATTTTCGTTAAAGAAAATGATGTAATATTACCTGGCAATCGCCGTTTTAAAAGAGTTTCAGGTATTTGGCATAACGGACATTGCAGATGTGTACAGCCTCTTCGATCTTGTTCGGCCACGTTAGATGTCCCACAATACTTGTTCCTACTGGTATCATTTATATACTTTGTCACAATATAATAATAAAACGATTTTATTTCTTTGTCTTTGCTTATAAACATATCAAATATATGATTTCTAACGATTAGGTACCTAAGATGCATCATTCAACTCAACCATAGTTTTTCTAACTTCTTTCAAATTTTCTATTAGAACATTTAGCGTGAACGGTGTCAACGTTGCAGTCTTTTTCTCACCACCTATCACCAAATCTAAAACAGCACAGTTAACATCTTCATCCATTTTTACGGAATATTGTTCCAATGGATTGATTTGTAAAGAAGCTGCTTTAAATTTACTGGAAAGGTTTGCACTTTGATCATCCACAATTCGCTTTATCGAAGTACTGTGTTCCCTCGGCAGGCCAAGCTGCTGTAATTCGCTTTGTAGCGCACTACTGTCACAGTTGTAACGTACCGTAGATGACAAGATATAAGTTAGACATGCCATACATGCCTTCAAATCTATGTTGGCATCCAGTTTGGATTCTGCAAATAGTTTTTCAGCTTTTTCCATATCCACCGGCGGATTTATTACTCCTTGGGCTACAATTTGTGCTAATAATTTTAATTTAACTGAGGAGAGTTTGGAGAGAGTGTTTATTTCCACCAGAACCCAGTCCGGGCAATCCGCATCTCCACAAAATCGGAACCTCATCACAAATCAGTGCTAAAATATGTCACATTTATATCAAAACTTATTGAAAACACTTATAATAATCAAACTTACTTTGTTGCAGCTAACAGCAACTTTGGTCCTGTCGATGAAATTTATGGACAGTTTCATAGAAGATACATTAGAAAATTTAATAATCTAGAAGAAGGTGATGACTGCGTATGTCTATTTACATTAGACTAAAAAATTAGTGTCGAACGTTTTCAAAAATATACTTAACTTACAATTGCTTTATTTATCTATTTTCTTTAATATTAAGATTTGAGGTTAATATGATAAAGATAAATAACTCGTATAATTTCAAATTTGAAGTAACGAGAATTCGGGTTTTTCATTAGACGGTCAAATACCATAGATGAACACATGAGAATAGAGAATATTTAAACATTTTAAACTTCCACGTTTTAATACTTAAGTCTGATTGGTTGAAATAAAATGTAGGACAAAAAATAACCAATCAAAATTAGGAATTTCTCAGAAACATGGATTTGGTTTTTCTATCTCCTTTTACATTGCAGTTCTTTCATCATTCATATTGTGGAATGGAGTTAATAGGATTTACGAGATTTACTGCAGAAAATTGAAAACTGACGTATCGTGGTTTGTCAAAACTTGTGGAGATAGTGAAGTTGTGGTTATCTAAACATTTCAAAAACGAAATATTGTTCATTATTACCACTAAAATCAGAACCCTGAATGTAAGGCCACAAGTTTTTTGTTCTTAGAGTTACAAAAAGGGTCCATTAAAATGTGGGACTCTACAATGTTCTTAAGTACTTTAACACCTAAGTTTTATGTGGCACTGACTGGTACATCATCCCTTATATCAGGCTTGATCCTGATCTTCGAATGGTGGTACTTTCGAAAATACGGTACCTCCTTCATAGAACAAGTGTCCATAAACCACATTAGCCCGTGGATAAGTGGAGATTATGGAGAGTCCACTACCACCAACAACACTAATTCTACTACCATGCCACCGCAAGTTCCAGAATGCAAAGTGTGGAGGAACCCTTTAAATTTGTATCGTGGAGCAGAGTATCAGCGCTTTTACTGGGCTACTAATAAAGAACCTCTTACATATTATGATATGAATTTGTCAGCCCAAGATCACCAAACATTTTTCACCTGTGAAGCAGATGCTGGAAAAGCCGAATATGAAATAATGCAAACAGCTTGGAGAGAAAGAAATCCGTCTGTGAGATTGAAAGCTGCTCATAGTGCTCTTGAAAAAAATCCTGAATGTGCGCCGGCTTATATTCTCCTAGCCGAGGAGGAAGCTACAACTATAACTGAAGCAGAAAAAATTTTAAAACAAGCTCTGAAAGTAGCTGAAACGAACTACAGAAAATCACAGGCGCTGCAACATCAAGGCAGTCTGATGGAAGCGCAGCACAGACGTGACACAAACGTTTTGATTTACATTAAAAGACGCCTTGCTATGTGCGCGAGAAAACTAGGCAAACTCAAAGAAGCCGTGAAGATGTTTCGAGACCTAACAAAAGAAGTCCCGCCAATAATGAATGTTTTAAATATTCACGAGAATTTAATAGAAGCGTTATTGGAGATGCAAGCATATGCGGATGTCCAAGCAGTCCTAGCCAAATATGACGATATATCCTTGCCAAAATCAGCTACAATCTGCTACACAGCAGCCTTACTAAAAGCGAGATTAGTAGCCGATAAATTCTCGCCAGATATCGCCAGTAAAAGAGGCTTAAACACAGCAGAAATGGCGGCTGTGGAAGCGATACATCGAGCGGTTGAATTCAATCCACACGTTCCTAAATATTTATTAGAGATGAAGCCGTTGATCTTGCCACCAGAACACGTGTTGAAGCGAGGAGACTCAGAAGCCTTATCATACGCTTTCTTCCACTTAGCACACTGGAAAGCAGTGGACGGTGCCCTCAACTTGCTACACTGTACGTGGGAGGGTACCTTCAGAATGCTGCCCTACCCCTTGGAAAGGGGCCACTTGTTTTACCCCTACCCCACCTGCACGGAATGTGCAGACAGAGAATTACTGCCGGCATTCCACGAAGTGTCCGTTTACCCCAAGAAAGAATTGCCATTTTTTATCATCTTCACTGCGGGACTGTGCTCGTTTACAGCTCTTTTAGCCTTGTTGACTCACCAGTATCCGGATCTCATGGGGATCTTCGCAAAATCCATTGTGGGATGGATGTCGATGCCTATCTACTACCTGTATGAGAAAGTCGAAGGGATCTTGCCGTCGAACTTGCTGCAGCAGTTGATACGGATTTAATATTCGCTGACGTTTTTTTAAGTGTGTACGTTACACCACAAGGCTAAGGTAGTGAGCGGTCGATTGCAAGGACAAGAATCTGTTAATTTTCTTTTAAATGCCTGCTATTATGACTTTTTTTGCTTTTCATTTCAACATGGTGAATTAGAAACCTAATAAAAAAATTGAAGAGATTAATAATTGTGTACTGTTACCTTCATGTTTGTGCAGTCTGACCCAAGTGTTTTAATTTTGTGTGTAATAACTTGTTCATAGAAGCATCGCTATAAGTTGTGGTATTATTGAAAGGTTTTGCTGAAGTTTTACAGGTCCGCCACAGTGAAAACACGTTTTGAATCTCTATTAAATAAGTAATAAAGTGGCAATGAGCAAGAAATAAGTTGTTTTATTTAGCCCTTAATGTTACAAATTGATAGGCTGATTTCTCAGAAAAAATTACATAGTGTTTTAGGATTAGTTGGCTGAATTTACAATTTGAATTTGATTTATCAAAACAAGAAAAAAAGTTTTGGGCTTCACGTTTGAGATAGTGTTGAAAATTTAAAGATATTTCATATTTTCTATAATATCTGCCCTGGGCGAGACTAATAACTAAAAAGTTTGAAACCAATCTATGTCTGCTAATTTCCTCAGCTATTTATATATTTGTAAATATTAGTGATATAATTAAATGCTGTACGTAGCATGCAACTCCCATAGTTGTTTCATGCATTATTTAAAAAGTTTATTTTGCTTGCCTAACGTAGCACCTACCTACAGGTTAGTAGGTCATCCTGTCAGTAGGTACAAAGCAATGCTTTGGAACGGTAGGCATTGAGTAGCAATGACATTTAAGATATGACAATTGACAATACTTTAAAAAGTTACATCTCACCCACATATCTGAAGATTTCGATGTAAAGCACAAAAATATTCTAAATTTAAACAAATAATTAATTTATATTCAATATTGGAGGTACATTACTGAGCACTAGATGCCACTGCGTTATAAAAGCTTAAAAACAAACAAAAATTGCAGGTTTTTGTTAAATTGGACACCTGAAGTACACTTAAAATTTATTTATTAAGTTCTTGACGAATTACATGTTCCAATTTTCGTCAATTTCTTCGTGCAGTTCAGAAGTGCCAACCCAACAAATTTCCAGCCTCAGATCACTGATCTCAGATCTGAGATCAGTAATGAGGTTATGTTATTGGAATATGTAAATAATCGAGTGGCGTCGTACTAGTTTTGTATTATTTTTACCCATTTGTTACTTACAAAAACTTAGATTTATACAATATGTTTCAGAACGGTACCGTTGTTGTACCACGACAATGAGGTGACTTGAAATTTATTTGCTTTGATTTGTTGGTAAAGTTGTTTCATTTGTAGAAGAAATTCACGAAGTCTGTAGCAGTTAGCAGTGTAAATAAATTCGTGAATTAATTCAAGAATAAATTGTCCATGTAAAACAGCTATAAGTCAAAGTAAGAGTTGATGTTTGCATTTGTCGTTTGTAGGCCGTCAGGATCCAGGGAATATCGTGATCACACCTCAGATATGTTGTCTATTACTATTATCACTTCTATTATCCTAGTTTAAGCAAAAAAATGCCTCTTTTTCGGGGAGCTTTTCTTAGATCTGATATAGATCTTGCTGTCCCCTGGGCACTGACGGCCTAACTTCCCCTAAACTGTGGGCAATGTCAACAATTAGACGGACCCCCGCAGTATTCAAATTTTTTTAACTTTACATTTTTTTCTCATATTGTGTAAATTAAAAAAAAATAAAATTGACTCCAATTTTGACACAGTACACATTTCTAAAATGTTTTCTTGTAAGTGTTGATTAACTTTGTTGAACTTTAAAAAAATTCTTTAACAAAAGAGTTCATAAGATTATTTTTTATTAAAAACATGATTTTAAAAACAGTGGTAATTCTAATTCTGAAAAGCCCAAAAAATAATTGTCCTAGAAATGTATAGTTTTATTATAGATTTATTTTGGCTTTTCATGTATTTAAAATCATACTTTTAGGAAAAAAAATTTTTTTTGTAAAATGAATAGTAGAGTTGAAAATGATTTGTTTTCTGAATAAAATGAATGAGATCTTTTCCCTGAGAAATACTATTAGGAATTACAAGTAGTGATCGAAATTATACTTGATAAAATTCCGCCACTCTATATGGAACGTCTTTACAATTTTTTTTTTAGAAAACATGAATTTTTTTTAAATTTTGACACCCTGTATCTCGAAAATCGAAGTGTTCCTGATTACTCCTCCAGAGTATTTCTTTGAATTTTAAATTCCGAACACCTTGTGCACATAATTTTTTATGTAGGGACAGTGTATGTCAAAATATACACTGCTCTATACTGAAAGTGTTGGATTGATGTTAACAGAACAGCCTGATATTTATAATTGTTTATTAATCGTTAAATACATTTCATAGGTATAATAAAATACAATTGTATATTCAAAATCTCTTAATAAAACATACATACTGGGCTCTGTTGAGACTGCGATTCCTAAAACGAGAGATGGACAAAGGAAAGTTAAACATGACCAACGGAAATAATGAACTTATCAACGAACTAGAGCTGCAAAAAGCCTACGTGACACCTCAGTCTTTTTGCAATTTTTTTTATTTAAGGGAACAGACCACCTCGTACCGACATGTAAAAAAATCGATTACCGACAGCACTAGTAGACTCGTAAATTAAAATCCGTACGGGTCGGGATGGACTGCTCCGTACAATTCAGTCGAATTTTTTTAGAATTACACCTAGTATATTCATTTAAATTTATTATATTATAAAAATGGATGGACAACTGTCATTTACCTAAATTCAGCTAGTATGTTTGATTGGTTACATAAATATTTACAGATATCGATTATTAGTACAATAAAACGGTATAAATATATCTATACAAATTTCTCCTTTTAAAATCTCGTAAGGCAGTGGGACCACTGCACAATTTTTGGCTAGGAAAACAGTTGAGTTTCTTTCATGTATACACAGTGCAGGGAATTAAAAAAAATACTGTACCAAATTTTAATGGTGGATTTGGCACAAATAATTAAAAAAGTTTATATAAACGCGTGTCCAGAAACGCTTTGTTTTGGAGATACAGTGTTAAAATTTAAAAGAGATCACATTTATTTAAATATTGAGACACTCGACATAGATCGATGGAACTTGGGATAATAATTTAGTAATAATAGAATTTTAAATGCAAGGTAGCTGCTATACCAATTTTTTTTTGCAATGGTTACGTTTTATTTAAAGTCGTATTTCTAACAAAAAATTCCAACAATTTCTATATCATAAACTTATTTTTTTAGAAATTGGATAAGTGCATTTAATTTCAGTCGTTATTTGTAAGAAAAACAATACCTATCTTTCATTCTATTTGAAAAATGTATGATTCCTTATTTTTTTTTAATTTAAAATATGCCTTTGATGCACTTGAATAAATAAAAAATTCATCCAGTAAAATCCATATCAAATAAAAAAAATTGCAATATTTTTAGAGAAAATACAATTTAGCTAATGAAAAGAAGAAACTTTTAATTTTCTGAAAATTGCTACACCAAAAATTATTTTGACTGCTGATGGTTATCGGTAACATTTTACTTAAAATTGTATTTCTAACAAGAAATTTCAACAATTTTGTGAGATGAAGTGTTTTGAAGTTATATTCGATATATTTCAACTATGTCAGAGGCTTATCTTAGATTTTAAAAAATAAACTCAAAATTTGACTGTCTTTTGAATAAAATGAAAAATATTTTTTTGTTGGAAGTACCAAGTAATATTAAATGCAATTGTGACAGTATTTCCTAATATCTCTGCCACTGATTTTCAGATTTATGTAACAACTCAACAAATTTTTCTCCATAATTATTTAAATCGTTAGTCTAAGTTTCATCAATCAACCTCGAGTATCTTCAGAGATATTTAAACACGTTATTTAAATTTCAACTTCCTGTATCTTGAAAATGAAACGTTTTGGGACACATGTCTATAAGGCTTTTTTTATTGATTTGTGACGTAGAACCCCCGCTAAATTTTAGCAGAGTATACATTAACACCATGCACTGCCCAAGACTGAAATTCTTCGTTTCTTCATTTCTTCGTAATATTTTTTAACAAAATATCAAATTTATTCGGAATATAAATTCCCAGACAAAATTATCGTAGTAATAAAAACGGAGGTTAATTTCAAAACTGACTTTTATGCGAACGGATAGTTTTTTTTATCATTATGTTCTATTCTTTCTTGACATTAATTTTTAATTTTCACCCTGTATATGCCCAAACTGAAATTTTTATAAAAATTTCTGTCCTAGCATTGTAATTGAGGAAAAAACCTAAAATAAAAGTTCGGCAAAATCAGATTTCCAGACAGCAGGAAAATCAACGTTGAAATCGGTGCACATTTTTAACGGTGCAGTAATGAGGATACAAGAATTTTTTTAAAAATATATGGAACAACTTATGCTACTTTGAAAAAACTCTCAAATGTATATAAAATTATATACTGGAAATTTTATTACCAACATATACCGCTCGACACAAAAATTGCTGCGAAATTGTTCAACATTGAAAAGATGCCTTGATCGCCAAAAACTGTGCATCCAGCCGCCTCTAACCTTTACAGCATTCCACATAAAGATTTCTGAACAACAACTGTTTATTTTTTTGGAATGTTTTTACTATTTTTTTCCTCAATAGAAATAAACCTCAGAATCAGATAATTATCAACGTTCCGCCCCTCGAATAACCATCCATCAACAGGACTACGCTAGAAGTGTAGAAATAAATATATATTAAAATTATATTTAACAAAATAAAATACATAAAAAAAAATCGTCACATACTTATTTGGCCTCAAATATTGTTTTCAACGTGAAAATTGACTTGAGTATTATCCACTTAACCGTTAATATACACAATATAGGAAACACTATGTAAATTTATTTACACACAAGCAAAACGCAGTTATAAAAACATGGCAACGTACAGTCCGAGAATTATCAGATCACTTAAAATAAATACCTCCACTACACTTAGTATATGCATTTAACTGGTGTTTTAAACTTTGAGCATTTAACAATCATATAAAATTGAACTTAGTTAACGCGTCGTTTTAATTAATAGTCGGTCGAACGACGGAAACCTACCCCCTGGCTCAGTCTGTGGTATCGTTTATTCAACCGAATCAATGTATGTGAATTTAAATTACACAATCTAAGAATGTATCACACGGTTATAGGATCCCGTTGGTGAAGTACTGGAACCCGTCGTACAGCTTGGTGGAGAGCGAGTGGATGCTGCCCTCCACCATGCGGTTCACCTCCAGCCGGAGCTGTTCCTCCGTCATGCTCATGTGGAAGCGGTTCTTCAGGTTCTGAACGGTCGCCGTGCCCGATTTGAAACACGGCAGCTGGGAACCTGCGACAGAAGAAACTTCGTCAGTGGAAACTTACTTACTTGGGAGGCTCGGAATTTTCTTTAGAAATATACAGAGTATTTCCTAAGTAGTCCATAATATAGAGGCCGATTATTCAAAATCTTTTATAAGTGTGTATTTTTTAAATTCAAATGAGGAGTGTTCGTGTGTGTGTGTGTGTGTGTTTGTGTGGTTTTTGTGTGTTATTGAGTGTGTTCGTCTTCGTGTGTGTGTGTTTGTGTGGTGTTTGTGTGTGCTTGTGTTTGAGTTCGCGTGTTTGTGTTCGTGTGTGTTTGTGTGTGTAGACAATAGTATTCAATTATTTTAAATGGTTAAATATTAAAAAAAAATATTCATAAATGTGAAATATGAATGAATATATTTTTAGATGAGCAAAACACATCCCACAACAGTTAAAAATACAAGGAAGGGCTCAGGTTAAATGAGCCCTCACGTTCCATATAATTGACCCTATAAGCTTGACTTGCCACAAGAATTATTCAGTCTTTTCCATAGTAATCTAAAATATATTGTTTGTAATATTGAAGTTTAGAAAGGTTTTAAGAGAATTTTTAATGTAGGCATCTGTTGCAATGACGATTAATGAGTAAGAATGTTAATTATTGATATTTTTTTGCATTAAATGATGTTTTATTCTTCCCGTTGAAATAACAGGGAGGAGCAACTCTTGAGTCCTTATGAAATAGGACTAACGGTGGCTATTATGGATTACACCACCCAGAATTGGGAGATTCGAAAAGTGTGCAAACGTGCCACATTGCAAGAAGTGGTTTCAGAGAGGCCCTGACCGCATTCATGAAGAAACAGCAGAACAGCTGCCACTGAATTTAATCTAAGATATATCATAAAAAAAAGTGGGTGTCCCTGAAAAAAAACGACAAACCGAAAATAAAATGCTTCGATACCCACCCGATCTCATGATTTCGACGAGGGTGATGATCATGCCGTGATGCTTCCTGGCCGCTATCAGCCCCTGCAAGATGAGAATTTTGAAATACTCGAACATGTCCGAGTTCTCCCCGCCCATGATCTCCACGAATTCGGCGGTCAGCTTGAACGGCGACTTTTCAAAACCCAAGTTCTTCGGGGACGTTGACAAAATGAACCCGAAATCGATGTGGATGAGATGACCGTCGCTCTGCAACAAGATATTACCGTTGTGCCTGAAACAAAACGACCATTACATAAAAAATAATCGGCAGGTTCGTAAGACGATTAACACTACCTGTCCTTGACCTGGATGAGGTAACAGATGAGGCAGTAGGCGGCGCAGCTCTGTACAAAGTTCTTCTGTGCGGTGAGGAAACCTTCGGAGGTCATCGGACCGTACTCTTTGATGAAATACTGGAGCAGCGACAGCTGGCAGTGTTTCTTCACCTGGTGGAGGGAGACGGTGTTGAGGATGGGCTCGATGAGGCCGCTGTCGTCTGACAGGCACAGAATCCTGAAAAATACAAATAAATAAAATAAATAATTGCAAGTCGAATTTCTTTTATATTCATCCGTACCTATAGGGATGAACCCACAGGGGAACATGTTCCAGTTCCCATATTTTCTGGAACATCTCCAGCAGTTGGGAAGCCATAAGTTCCTGTCTCAGGTCATCTCCGCACTTGACGATGACGGAAAGTAGTCGCCAAGTCGACAGATAACCGTACGGAGAACTTTCCCTTATCCTTTGCTCTTTATCCTGTGAAGGCGAATAAAACAATTAATTGCCACGAGAAGATTCTTACAGACAGTAATATTACCTGCCATGGTTCCTTGAGGACAGCAGCGGAAGGATCCTCTGGATCGTGGGTGAACTTCTTGCTCTTCTCCTCGTGGAAGAAGTCCGACAGACGCCTCCTGATCTCGCTAGCCGGGATGGACATGGGGGGTTCCCGCGAGTCGCTAGATTCCTGGCTCATTTGCGAGATGGTGTCCCTGTCCATGGGCTTTTTCAATTGGGCATACTAGAAAAAAATGTTACATACATATATTTTGCATTTAAATAAATATAGTCTAATTACGTTGAAATTGTAACACTGTTTATTTTTGCCACTGGAAATGATACATAAAAGTGTATTCAAATGAATTTTTTTATACATTCAGTAAGCTTTTAAATGTACTGTGACGATTCTGCTGTATTTTTTTTTAAAGCAATTTTTAGGAAATTTGCTGAGATTTTTTTTTTTAATAAAATAGTTACATCAGAATTACTTTTCAATCACTACAATGAAGAATTGGTTTAAATCTGAACTGTGCGCAGGAATCAGATGTTCCTCAGGGGTCTAATCTTGGACCCCTATTATTTTTTATGGTTATTAATGACTACAAAAATGATTAAAAAATTAATTATTGAGCCTCAAAATGTTAGCAACTATGAGTTTTTGCAATATGTTTAATTGAAGCATTTAAGCTTAAATTAAATGCAAATTCCTTAGCTCTTAACAAAAAAAAAAAAACAATTATATTTAATAATTCTTTAAGCAATATTGTTTCTCAAAGAGACTGTTTAACGAGGCATTTGAATAATTATTACATTTATCTCAAAATTAATCTTTTTGGAGAATATCCAAAATGCAGCAAAATCACCATCCAAATTTTTGGATTTTACTATAAACAATTTTTGAGATTCATTGGTTAATTCTAGAATTGGTTTAAAAAAAATTTTTATTTTTCAAAAGCGATGTGTATATCCTACTCCAACCTGCAATCATAAATTTTTATTTTCTAGATTCAATATTCGGCATATTCCATATTAAAGCTCCGACGAAGGGAAAATGAATCTTTAAAAACATCAATATGCAAGATCCCGTACAATTTTCATATATTTTAATCAAGGCAATATAAATTTTAAATCTGTTATATAAATAGTTATTTAAAATACTTTTCAATCATAATTATTTATTTTCTCTTTTCAGTCTTGTTTTTTTTTCTTTGCCAGCTAATTAAAATTTTCAAATGTGGCATGTATATATTTTCTTATGTTATTATTCTTATGTACCTATAACTTAATTATTCTGGTTACATTATTTCTTTTTATTTTTTGTTATTTTGTTTATTCTAACATTTTTTATGTTCACAAATTTTGTCCTGTAACTATTTTTTTTCTGTTGGATGATTTAATATGGAGATTTTTTTTATACAGACTTACTACAATACATTTATTGTCAATTAAATGTTTCTATATGGCACATAAATGTTGTTGTAATGTACTGCTTTTATTTGTCATTTATGTGTATATTTATTTTATAAAAAAATGCACTATAACAGTCAACTATTGAACAATACGAAAAAAAATATATCATTAATAACGTAAAATGTGACATTACAAGGAAAACAAAATGAATATTTGTAATATAATAATGATTTTATTATAAAAATATTCTAACCTTGGGAATAAAAGTATTTGTATAGACAAACATATGAAACAAATATTATCGTGTTTTTTAAAGATGTAATTACAATAAAATTACCTAAAGGACGTCTAGAGTATATAGTAATTGGTTGCATAACGAATAAAAAACATCCAAAGCACGATTTTTTTCTATAAAACCAATAATCACAGTATTTAATTGAAACTCACTCGAGAGAAAATGGTAATTTCTTCATTAGATACGACGGGCTGCGTCTCGTTTACATTTTTTATGTAGGAAAGATAAATAAACTGACGATTATAAACGCAATACACAAATATTTTTACAGATTTTCATACAAAATGTACCTTTTTAACGCGTTCTAATCGATTTCAAAATATTCTCGGCCAAACAAAATAAATTTCCAAATAGCTTAAATTACTTTCCGAGTGGGTTTTTCTTAGATAGTCGATTTTCTCCTAAACCGTTATCCGAGCTATTCCCGTCGAGACTTCTCCAAATATTATTAAGACAAATTTGCGGCGGCCAGCTAGCGCCATTACATCGGGATATGTAAATATTTGGATTGGCGTAATTCCCCCGGCACTAAACGGCCTGTAATTGACGCTGGCCGTAGTGATATAGGACGACAATAAATGATGAACATTAAACTTTATTGCTGCGACATCGATTAATCAAATAAGCGGCCGATGGCGGACGCGACGTTTAACCTAATTTAGATACGGTTTATGGACTCTTAAAAACCCTTTAGTGTTTAATTGCTGGCGATATCGACCGTAAATAATTTGTAGAATATGCAGAAATACAGTTTACCCTTACATTGTAGGTGGTTAAGTAAAGAAAATAAATAAAGTACGGTATGAAAATTTAACAGGCACGGGAAATACTTAAAATTATTCTAGGAAGAACTCGTTTTCACGTCGTTTCAAAACTGATGCGCAATGGCGCGGCTTTTCAATACATTTCCCAAAAGATTTAAAATTTGTTTTTAATCTAGTTCGCAAAATACCGCTTTTGCTTAAGCTGTAACTGTTCCAGAACGTCTATTTCAGTAGTCGCATAGTTGTTACGATATCAATTGGAACCTGTGAATCTTAAAGCACAGGACCGTCTGCACTTCTCTTGAAATTTCTTTATATGCTTTAGCCATGATGTGTCTCGTAATTTATATTCGAATAGTCATTGGGCGAGTTCGGTATTGATAGACCAGTCCGCCCGATGTAGAATCGAGGGCGGCGCGCTGGTCGTCGAAGCTAACCTGTATTGATATCGTAACGACTATAACGTTAATTGAATACTCTGTTGAAAATAAAATGAAAGTTAAACATCAATTATCTTCTGTTGTATTTCGAGGGAACTATAAATCAACGACGTGACAAAACCACAGTACCACATCAGACTACAAGTCCGTCACCAGGCGACTACATTCCAAAGATGAACAAAATCCAGAAAGGCAAACTGTCTACATCTCAGGAGGATTTCGCTATAGGTCCTCTGCGGACCCATCAAGGAAGGTGATGGAACGTCGACCCTGATGGCTTGCAGTATAATAACCAGGAATCTGACAAGTACGAGTTGTAAAAATTAAATTCATATGTCATATTATTGAAGCAACTTATCCAATTAAATTAATAAGTAACAGCTGTGTCAAAATGGCTTTTTTGTTAGAATGTCTGTTCTATTCTAGTTAACCAAGGATCTTTTTGAATCTTTTAGGAGCAGAATTAAAATGTCAACTTATGATAGTTTTCAAAATGTGTAATGAAAATTTCTAATTAAGAAGCTTCCAAAAACATGCCATCATTTTAATTTTTATTTTCATACATTTCATTAAAACATGATAACCAAATAGTAGCTACATGTTCTATTTACTTACTTTATCTGATGTGTATTTAACCTTATATTAAATGAATACATACACGGCTAGAAAATCCACATAGTCCATCTGCCTTTACCTGAGAGTGACAAAGTAAGTCATAGAAATCCGTACCAAGAGGATGACAGTATGTACCAGGTTTGGTCGCTGACGCAGAAACTCGTCATTGAAATATTTGAAAAACTTGTTCCCATATTTATTTAGCCATACCCCTATTCAGGTCTGGTCGAACCAAACGTGGAGATGGTGAAAATGTATACGCCCAGTTGAAGAATGCGAGCGTGGGCAAACGAAATACAAATACAGTTGCATTGGGCCACTGGGCAATAAATCTCAGCCGTTGACGAGTGGTCGATAAATTGCCCAGCAGTGCAGTGCAGCAATGCGGAATTTGGTGTGATTCAGATAATTTTAATTTTAATCTATTAATCATGGATATTACAATTGCGAAAGGGAAAAATAATATTACAACATGGCATTTTGGAGACCTTTTGAAACGGAAAACGAAATTTACCATCAATATAATAAAATCGTTCGAGGACAAAAATAATTAAAATATGTTGTTGGCCAAATGAACATTAATAAAAATTTTCTGCACATTATATACAAATTATTATAATGTTTTACCTTTATCAGAAAACTTTTTTAGGGTCGCCTATGAAACTCATTAAATTTTATTGCCAGGCTTTTTTTACATGTTCAATTGACTTCAGAAAGACTATACGCGTAACGTAATTTTTATTGTGAACGGAAGATCCACTATGCAGTGTTGCCGGTGTTACACAGAACTCTTAACATCTAACTTTTTAAAATGCAATACGAAAGCACTTTCTTCGAAGAAATATTTAAATGTCTTCAAAAAAATTACCTATTTCCCCCACCCCTTGCCAGTTCTAACCGGCAATACAATTTATGTTCTGTTATTTTAAATTTGATGTTCAATTGTTCACGATTTTCGAGACAAGCGTGGGGTAAACAAGTAAATGTTTTGAAAATCATCTATAGAAGTAGAAAGTGTTTTATTTTATTTATAATAATAAAATAAGTAAATTTAGTATTTGTTATTTGTGTATTCTAATCTGTTTTTAAAATAATTTTGAATGTGCTGTTAGAGGTTATGTCTTTACTACTAAAAACAGTAGAAGTGTTGACTTGTTGTGTACGTGTGGATGGGAAGGTTACTAAACAAAATAGCACTAAACGTATTTTTAGTAAGTAGTACTTTATTTTTCAACAATTAGTTTTCTTTATTATATGGAGTTTGTCGTATTCCACCCTTCGAGCGAGCTTCAGGATTTCAGA